TGTAAAATATGCCAAGGTGAATCACTGCCCCAAACACGGCTACAAGCAGTGGGTAAATTTGGCCGCGTCACTGTGGTGGTGCATGCCTCCAAACCAATACTCTGAATGCAAGAGTTGGTAGATCACACGCACATTTGTATCATTCTCAAACCCAATCCACCATGACAGCCGTATAGCAACCACGTTCACGAAACAATCTTTGAGGATCTCCTCAGTTTATGCGCAAGGAAGGGACGTTGTCCAAAACCTCATCTACATTTTTCGCTTTTACAGCAGTGCTGCTGATAAATGTGTTGAGTTCTTTTGTTTTTGAGTGCTGGCTAGATCATGGTTGACGAATTTGGAATTTGCCAAATATCCCAATGCTGAACAAAACCAAAAATAGATTTATATCTTAAATTGTTAATTTCAGGAAGGCTTTTTTGGATAAATAGTAAGAATTATCTGAAATGATCCTCCAGCATTAATGTTATATGTTAACAACATACATTTTATGTAATATTATTTAAAACTTTCCTCTTTAGGCACAACAGTATATCGCTTGTTGTTATAAAGTTTTTCATCAGTGTATGTTTCCTGCAATGACAGATAGCTCGGTAACATTGAAATGGATGAAGATAAAAGAACAGAAGCTGAAAGTACACAGTAGCATGAAGACATTCATGCTTGGAATCGCACTGAGACAGAAAGAGTAACTCATGGATCAAGGGACAAACTTGACTGCTCAGAAGGAGTGCGTGGCCTCGGGCAGGTCATGCCACCACAAGGGGTGATGGCTGATGGACAAGACGAGGGAGTGGCAGCTGAAAGAGGGAGCACGCCTGACTGATATGGAGCGATGAGATTGGTTCGTGTGCTGGAGTTAGGTGGAATGTTGCATCCTGGGAAGATAAAGGATGGCTACAGCTCTTAATCCACCAGTGGCTAGATCATGGCTAATGTTGATGCAATTTTGATTCCAGGAATCTCTTATTTCTGCAATTTCTCCTATAAAAGTCAAATAGGTTTCATTACAGATTTTACAAGGAAGATGTATATTACAAAAAAACACGCAGATAAGCAATAGCAGGGACAGTTGTTTTTACAATTTAGTTCCAAGTAAAAATTTCAATTTGGGATTTTGGTAACGACATAAGCCCACAATGATGTCTTGCAAATTATATCCCAAAGTCTTTTTCGACAAGTGAGTGGCCGAACAAGAGGACTTTCCATCAATATTCCAATTCTCCAGAGGAATAGACATGTGCAGTACAGGACGCTCATATACATATACCGACAGAACTCAATATTGTGAAAAACAACTTAAGAGTTATTACCATGGGCAGACCAGGGCATGACAGTAATTTCTACAGCCTTCATGATATCCTTATCATTGTCCAGCTTCCTATATTCGCCAATAATGTATAATTTCAAAATTACCGGGCTCTTTAATAATATAACAAGGACTATTGCACGTGCATTCATTGAAACATGTAAAAACTAATTTATATGGTTTTAAAAGGAAACACAATTGTGGAAACCAGGAGTTGAGAAATACCTATATTACACGCAGCTCGAGCTAAAAGATACAGACGATCTTAATACCTGGGTTTAAGGCCTATTGTGACAAATGGCACCTATAGCTCTCACAGGTATTATCCTAATATCAATCATTTATTTTTTAACAAATCCATACCTTTCAACCTGTCTATATTGAGCAAAGGCTTATTATATACGGAGTCAAAACCAACAACACAATTTGGATTTGTCGAGCCCTGAAATGCAATCACATCTTAATGATTACCATGGGGATTGGTTCTAAAATATGAAGGTATCGACGTGCTCTACAGTAGTCGTCTTTACTCACCGGTGCAGCAGTGGCAAATACTACCAGTAATGCTGTGCGCCCAAGACAGATGACTCCGTCTCTTGAGTCAACCAACTGCCTGTCACAATCTGTGACAGCAGTCACCGTGATGGACTCCGCTAATGGCTGGTTGACACGGGAAGGAATCCTGTTGGGACTGAGTGGACAGCAGGCGTTGCCCATACCTATAGTAATATCCTATGAGTGTGCTCCCTCGAGACCACACGTTTGTCACGAACCACGTGTTTGTCTTTGTGTGGTAGTATCTTGATTTGTTCTGGCCGACTCAGCCTTAAAGTACTACGTGGCAGTGTGATGATAGCATCAGCACTGGGGAAACCAAGATGGCCAGACATGGTGATAGCCGCACCACCGACTTGTGCCGGCTTTGCAAAGTGCAGCAATTGTCTCAACAGCCTACGTAGCTGCATGCGGGGTTCTTTGCCTTTGTGCCGACATGTGCATGCATCTGTGTGCTTTTATCCGAGTATGTGTCAGGGGAATGATGGGTAGCGGTCCTCACACTGCTGATTACCTGGTTTCATTTCGTGGCCACAATGTACGACACCACTAATTCTTAACCTCTGAACCGATCCCTGCCTTCCACAAATTCACTCAACCGAAAATCAGTAAATGAACATCAGAAATGGCTGAAGGTGTCCAGGCATGAACGCTTGCTGCATGACTTTGTGTACAATTCCAGTCTTTCCAGTACATAACCCTTGTTTCTTGCTGAATATACAATTACGGTACTTTGTTTTTACAATACAGTACATTACTTTATTAAATGTACATGCAATGGCACTGCTGATACGTGGCCAGCTAATATGCAACAATTCTATAGCTGCCCAAATACAATTACCAATGTACCTCTAACCTTGATATTTTTGTCGTGATTGTTTTTTGCTTGCAAGCAAGCCAAAGTGCAGTGGACAACGTACGTCTTGCAAAATATCAAAACCCATAACTTCCTCGTGTACTGCACTGCTAATTGACCTTTCTCGTTCGGCGTTTAAAAGATAAGAGGCAATGCTAGATGTGGCATACAACAGTAACAGCCATGTGGGGGAAGATTTATAACCGACTATGGTGGGAAGCTGTAATAAACACACGTTGCGGGAGTGCACGTACAAATGATATTACTGTAAAATGATACTTAAAACTAGTAGTGGACTGTGACACCTGGGTGAGACAAAGGGAAAAAAGCGAATAAACAAGACGATGAAAAGAGGTGCCAGATATTGGTAATTAAAGTATATTTGTCGCGCATTTACTGCACACAATATACTTCGTGATAGGAGCTAAGGCATAAAGGTCAAACCGTGATCTGGGGGTCAGGTTAAGGTCAAAATGTTAAATAAGCATACTCCTGTTACCAATTCATCAATTTGGTTTCTCTATTTTTACAGGAAGCTGCAGTGCTACAGCTTAGGCCCAATTCAACATTGTAATTGCCAAGATCTCTCGGCTCCTTTATCGGACAGAAAGCCAAGTGAAATACTCTGAGTCTTTCGGTAAAGTCACGTAGATAGAAAAATAATAGATCACGACGTTTCGATCGCAACACAAGCAATCGTCTTCAGGTGATGTTGCTCTCACAGTGAATTTTGGGCAAGGGAGTTGAGCCTTGTATGAGTAAGAAGACGGCTGAAATAAGAGAACAGTTCAAACTATAACCTCTGCTCAATATCATATGTTCTTGCATATGAAATAACAAATATAAAAGCACAACACAACATATATATTTTTTTATATTATCAAAATACGACCATCCTTTGTTTAGTGTGGTTGGTTTGAAATTTACTCTTTGGTTCTATTCGGTAAAGTCACGTAGGTAAAAAATAAACCAAAAATCACGACGTTTCGGCCACAACACAAGCGGCCTTCATCAGGTGAAGGGATCAGGCTGTCTCGAGGACAGCGCTCTCGAGGACAGCGCTCGAGACAGCCTGATCCCTTCACCTGATGAAGGCCGCTTGTGTTGTGGCCGAAACGTCGTGATTTTTGTTTTATTTTTTACCTACGTGACTTTACCGAATAGAACCAAAGAGTATGGATCCTTGCAGTCACGAAAGCTTTAAATCTAGAATTAGTTTGAAATTTATTGAGAAAAACGAAATCTGTTTAAATACATATACAAATCAATAAGGCCTAATACGTCAAATAACGCTCTCCTTGTCTATACAGTTAATGTTAATTATGATGATACTGCCATTCCCACGAACGAGGTTGTATAACGCCAACGGCAGAACCACAGCCCCATAACTCACAAAACTGTAAACACAAACTAGGCTGACATTGTCGGGCCCCAACTACTGGAGGAACCTGACTTGGTCTGTGAACGCCATTGTCATCTCAACAAACAAGAATACAAAACAAATACAACTCTACCGACTTATGCTGGGGGCCACAATAGAGAAGGGATCCTCTCGAACCGCAGTGCGAAACGCAGACGGGACGAGTGGCGGTAGCTGTCGGGTGTGTAGGCGGTGAAACTGCACCGCGGCACCGCGGCTGAGAATGGTCCAGTTGCCAGGCTACTTAAATAAGTTAAATTGAACAGGGGGGAAAGTGGGGGTCACCCATGCCAACCGCACGACTACACCGCTGCTTATGATGCCGGGAACCTTTCACCGGCAGCGCATTCACACACGGGTCTATCCAAATGCACTGATCACCGTAGAGCACAATGTAACAAAAAATCCATCCGAATTTGATGGGGGCCACGTTGGAGAAAACACCTTCACCAGATATCCACACTGCAGTGACAACGTAATAACACTACGACGAGCTGCTCCGGCAATGCTGGGCCCCCCTGTAGAGAAAAAATAAACCTTCAAGGCATGCATTCACCATGTCTCCTAGCTGATGTGTGCCTTTAATGACTCTTGGGACCCAACTTGCAGAGGGCCTTCTTGCTGTCACCATCGCACTGCTACTCCAATACTAGCCCCCACCAAAGAGAGGGCAATCACCTGGTCTCTCATCTGCTGCGTGACCTCGGCCACACCAAACCCAGCTGATGTTGCCGGAGACCTACCTGCAGTTCGACATGGACCCCCCCCCCACCATTGCAGGCATCTCAATACCTCGGTACCCGTTGAAAAAGTCTAACGATGTTGTTGTTGCTGGGCGGGGGGGAGTGGTGGCCCACCTTGGAGAGGACTTCAACCTGGTCGCCCCGCCGCAAGGTGAGCTCGTCATCGGCGCTCGCCTCGTAGTCGAAGACCGCGGTCCACAGGAAGGGGTTGGTGCCGCCACGGGGTCTCACAGAGCCCTCGGGTACCCGGCTAGGGGACTCGGCCTGGACCCCCGCGGGCCCCGCCGCGTCCTCCTCCTGCATGGGGGGCGCCCAGGAGGCCTCGCCGCCCGGCCCGGCCGCGGCATCAAAGGGAGGAGGGGACGAGATGGAGGAGGGGACGAGATGGAGGAGGGTGGAGGAATGGGGGGGTAGGGGGGGTGCAGGAGAGAGGTGCAGGAGAGAGGGAATGGGCGCTGGTGGAGGAACCAGTGGCGGGGGGTGGGGTGGAGCGGACCGAGGAGGAATTACGAAGAAAGGTCCGAGGTGGACGGGGCGGAATATCTCCTTTGAAGATTCTCGTTAGTGTTCGTCTATAACGGGGAGCAAATTAAAAAAAAAGGTCGTGGAAAAGACGCGGGTATCAAGTTGCTGCTCTGAGATGTTGGAGAGACGATCGGTGATGTGGCGAGGGTTGGAGTCTCTGGTGCGGGAGGGCTGCTGACGGTGAACCGGTCCCGGACGTTAACGACGACTCAAGAACACGCGAAGTGCAGAAACAAGAGGATGCCAATTAACGGGGAAGGGTGGCGGACTTTAAAGTGATGTGCAAAGAGTTGCCCAAAGACGTCCAGGGGACGAGGACGGTGATGACCAAAGGGTTATGAGGAATCCCCAGTCCAGAGATCGCAGCCGGCGTACATAGCCCGTGGCAAACACCGCCACTACTGCCTCCTCCTTCAGCCTCCCCTTGCAGCCCAGAACCTTGCTCGCAGAGGTCCAGCCGTCGGAGGCGATGATGTGGAGGATGATGGAAAAGATGACGATGAGGACAACAGGGGGTATGGAGGTGATGACAGCGGCGGTGATGGAAAGAATGAAGAGACAACGGTCGGGTTGATTCGAGGTGGAGATGATGCCGATGCGAGGTGATGACGGAGATGGACTATACGATGGAGATGCCGTGATGGTGTTACTGATAAGACGATGCTAATGATGATGGTGGCGTTTATTCTTTCACGTCCACAGCCACGGCGCAAAGCAGTAGGCAAGCAAACACGACTATTGTAACGATTGCGGGCTCGATCGACTCTTGTGTTGCCGCTGCCTCTCTTGCTGCTGCTGGTTGCTGCTGCTCGTTGCTGCTGCCGCAACCAACCGCCGGAGTCCTCTTCGTCGTCGTTCTTCGTCGTCGTTCTCCTCGGGAGTCGCCGCGCTTTCTCCGGGGCTCGCCACTCTCAACTCATCCTCACATCGTCGGCCCCACGCACTCCCAGCCGCCGCCGCGATGCCGCCATTACGCGCGTACTCTGACCCACGTGACCCCGAGACCCACAAGCCCCGCCCCTCGCCATTTAAGTCCCGCCTCTCCCACAGCTAAGCCCCCGCCCACTCACCCAAGCCAACCTCTGCACCTCGCCTCACGTTAACCCCGCCCCTCATTAACCCCGCCCCTCGATTCCTAAGCCCCGCCCCTAGAGGCGAATCCCCACCCCCGTTCTCAGCTAAGCACAGCCCCAAGTCTATAGCCTCGGCTCATTGGGCGCAGCGTCCCCGTTTACTCTACAAGCCCCGCCCCCCAACTATCGAAGCCCCGCCTTCCTATAACTGTGCCCCGCCCCCCTTGTCACTCACTTTGCCCAGAGCTTGATAATACCGCTCAGACGCTAACGCGCCGTCAGGTAAATGGGCCGGAACACAGCGGTGGTCGGCAGTGGAAATTTGAACCCGACTGCGTACCCCAAAACAAACCAACAACAAAGTGTAGCGGCAGGTAGCCAATACATATATTTATATATACAGTATACACACCTTCGCAAGTGTACGGTCGTTCACGCTGTGGATCTCCCAAACATACGCGTTCTGAACCAGACGATAAAATGTGATTTTATCCGTCACCCGTGTCGTCTGCTCCCCCTTACGCTCAAGCTCAGTTGGTATGATCCCCCTCTAGTGGGGGTGGTAGTGGTATGATCCCCCTCTAGTGGGGGTGGTAGTGGTATGATCCCCCTCTAGTGGGGGTGGTAGTGGTATGATCCCCCTCTAGTGGGGGTGGTAGTGGTATGATCCCCCTCTAATGGGGGGTAGTAGTGGTATGATCCCCCTCTAGTGGGGGGTGGTAGTGGTATGATCCCCCTCTACTGGGGGGTGGTAGTGGTTTGATCCCCCTCCAGTGGGGGTTGGTAGTGGTATGATGCAGCTCGAGTGGGGGGTGGTAGTGGTGGTATGGTATGGGTCATGTAGCCCGCATGCCCAGCCACCGCATGCCGAAACAGCTTTTGTTCGGCCGGATCGAGGGGGCTAAACGGGCGCGGCACGGGCTAGAGAAGAGATGGAGTGACGTGATACAGGAGGACGTGGAGCTGAGTGGACTTGCCGATGACTGGTACCAGCGGTGTCAAGATCGGCCTCTGTGGAGGAGGCTCGTGAAGGACGCTACTGGGCAGTTGGAGGCAGTCGCCCTCCAACAACAACGGAGGGCGGAGGAGCGACGCTCACAACAACGAGCGGAGCGCAGGGTGGCTAAAGCACAGCAGGTTGGCACAGTAGGGGGCACAGGTGGTGCATCAACCAGCCATCTCAGTAATCTCAGTCAGTCGACTTGTGGCACCTGGGTCTGCCCCGTGACCTGCCAGCGGGCGTTCGACACTTTACGTGGCCTCAAGGTGCACATGGCCTGGCACAAGCGTCGTGGTGACGTCACCGCCACTTAGTGGCGAATGGCGGTTGTTGGTATGGTCCGGATCTAGCACAGGGGGGTGGCATTTACATGGCATATTTGTTGTTTTGTTTGATTATATTTGTTTTTTTAAATGATAACATTTCGTAAACTGATTTAATAAATCCTCAATTATTGACAACTCATTTAATAATTTTCAAGAATTACACATAGTGCGTGTGAAAATGTGGATTTCAAATAAATGTAAAGAATTAAAATAGCAACATGTCATGCCACACATTTATGAGCTCCCGCAATGTTATTTTCTCAAATCACTGGCTATGAAGGGCTATTGCCCAAAACGTCGCCCAAACATACATTTGTGTATTTTTCAGACCCACAGCATTTAACGTCGGATGTGTTTGAATGCTGTTGTTGAATTGTTCCCGTGCACCATTTCACGTCAGCGGAGTAGCTTCTCCAAATTGTTGAATCTCTCTTTACGCCTTTCCACTTAAGCCTCGCCTCACCATTTAGAATTGAAGCTCGTCTTCATATACCGCACGTGAATACGCGAGTTTAAAAGATAAAATCAAGAATCATGCACAGTCCTGTATTAATACACTGCTGCACTGAGGTCATTTCCATGTTTTTTGTTGGTCTTCGGGGCTCTCGTTGACCATACTTCACCACGCAGCTCATTGCGGTTTGGCAATGAGGCAATAACGGAGAATAACGAGTAAAACATGTTTCATAAAACTCAACACATTCGTCAATAAACAGTGGGCCTTGAAGGGAAAGTGTGACGTTTTAAGGCAATGGCCCTGAACAAAACTGATTTCGAGGTGCCGTGAAGGACCATTGCCTAAAACGTCGCCTGGTATATATTGTTTTCCTTTTAAGGCCGCACTGGTATTGACGAATGTGTTGAATGTTGTTAATTTCGCTTGTGCATCACTGCTCACACAACTATAACAGCGGCATCACCACGACATTTGTTTAAGGGGCCGTCCATAAATGACGTCACGCGATTTTTGACGACTTTTGACCCCCCCCTCCCCCCCCCCCCTTCGTCACACGGCGTCACAAAAAAGTCAGACTCCCACTCAAATTACTCATTGGTTTTTTCGGTAAAGTCACGTATGTAGAAATACCATACAATTATATTGAAATAAATCAATCACGACGTTTCGACCGCAACACAAGCGACCTTCATCAGGTATAAAAAACAAATAGCACATAGGGTGACATCAACGCAACACATAGAGAGCGCCAAACTGCACGGAGGTAAATACAACAAGAAGATGAGAGACGAGAATCCAACAAACCTAAGAAAAAATTGTGTGATGCAAAACCAGTCAGGCCAACAACACAGTTAGACACTTGCCTGGCGGACCACGAATTTCAGAAGAGTGCTAAATTTCGTGTTCATCCTCTGGATTGAACATACCAGCATAGACAAGAGTGAACAAATACGAGGTACAAGTCAGCAGAAATACATATACAGGGACACCAAGAGGCAAGGAGAGGAAAGACGAACAGAGAAACAAGGAAAAAGACAAAGGGCCGGAGGGATGAACAGACAGAGGCCTTAAATAAGAAGTAGAGGTGGGGGGAGGGGCCGGAGAGAGCAAGGGGGCAATACGTTTAGGACAGAATTGTAAAGGTAACTTGCCCGTAGAAGTGTGTTAATAAAGAATTAAAGCTTTCGTGACTGCAATAATTACTCAATGTTTTTTTCGGTAAAGTCACGTACGTAGAAATACCATAAATTATATTTAAATAAATCAATCACGACGTGTTTCTACGTACGTGACTTTACCGAAAAAACCAATGAGTAATTTATGCAGTCACGAAAGCTTTAATTCTTTATTAACACACTTATACGGGCAAGTTACCTTTACAATTCTGTCCTAAACGTATTGCACCCCTTGCTTGCTCCTACCCCTCCCCCCGCCTCTGCTGCCGTGCCCCCTTGCTCTCTTCGGCCCCTCCCCCCCACCTCTACTTCTTATTTAAGGCCTCTGTCTGTTCATCCCTCCGGCCCTTTGTCTTTTTCCTTGCTTCTCTGTCCGTCTTTCCTCTCCTTGCCTCTTGGTGTCCCTGTATATGTATTTCTGCTGACTGGTACCTCGTATTTGTTCACTCTGTCTATGCTGGTATGTTCAATCCAGAGGATGAACACGAAATTTAGCACTCCTCTGAAATTCGTGGTCCGCCAGGCAAGTGTCTAACTGTGTCGTTGGCCTGACTGGTTTTGCATCACGTAAATTTTTATTAGGTTTGTTGAATTCTCGTCTCTCATCTTGTTGTATTTACCTCCGTGCAGTTTGGCGCTCTCTATGTGTTGCGTTGATGTCACCCTATATGCTCCCTCGCTATTTGTTTTTTACACCTGATGAAGATCGCTTGTGTTGCGGTCAAAATCGTGATTGATTTATTTTAATATAATTTTATGGTATTTCTACATACGTGACTTTACCGAAAAAAACAATGAGTAATTTATGCAGTCACGAAAGCTTTAATTCTTTATTCCCACTCAAATATGACGTCACAAAGCTCTGCCCCCCTCCTCCCAAAAAAAATAAAACATGCTTCAAATCGCTTTAAACTATTGTCATTGTAGTGCGTATTTAATGTGGCGCTGCACTCTGATTTTGTGGGAGAAAACATTTATTAAAAAGTCTCTTTAATTAAGTAGAACGTGTTGTGTCTATATTTATTTAAAGTTGCGCATTTTGATGTCACCTCACATTTCTCAAACCCCCCCCCCCCCTAGTCACACATCGTCACAAATGTCTGACCCCCCCCCCCGACCCCAGGTGCGTGACGTCATCTATGGACGGCCCCTAATGCCGTAATAACAGGGGCCTTCACTCGGGACTCAGATGATTACAATAATAAGTGTTGGGCGTGTGCGAGGAAACCCGAGTAATTGAACTTGAATCAGAAACTTGGAGATTGACGTAGAAAAAAGTTGAACAAAAGCTGAAATCTGGGATTACAGAGACACGAGGCTGGTTCGGCAGGCAGCTTAATTGCTAGCATGAGCCCGAGAGAAGTAATTCCGAACATTTTGCCTGTCGTGTATCCCCCCCCCCTACCAGACCTATACACTGTCCGCATATCCCTAGAAGCGTACACGATACCGCAAATAAGCAATTGTTATATACGGTATTAAAATCCATGATGCCTTTCAGAACCAGCAATATTTAGACACAATTAGCTAAGCCAGAGTACAATTAAAAATGTTAATATTAAACTGAAAGGCCCTCTAACGCGAGCATTAAATAATGTAATATAACTGATATCTCAACACGGCTGCCCACAACTTAGAGTGGACGACTCTGCCAAGCTGCCCACAGCCTGCTTGCGTTACAGCCAACGGTAGGGGGGAGTGAAACGACATCTGGACGAAATTGTCCCTCCTAACTAAAGGTCCCTTTCAATAAATGCCCCTAACTGCCATTGGGGAAGGTGCATTAAAAATATGTCAGCAATGAGTGTGATACCTCATCTATTGACCTCCATAGCAATGTAAAATGTCACATTGATGTGTAAGTGACGTTGCATTGCGTTTTCGTGTGACCAGACTTGAATGACCTCTGTTATGCTCAAGACGTGTTACGTCTACCCAACGACATTCGCCATATTGTCTGATCCACGTGTTCCTCTTCATTATCTCTAATTGCACTTTCAAGTACGCACCACTCCCATACTCATGTGGGGACTTTTCAGATTTTCTTCCATTCTCTTTGTTAATGTCCACGTGTCTTAATGGTTCTGATCGATGTTATAGCAGGTACTGTATGTAACCCGAATTAAAGGCTTATGAAAACTAAGAATAAGTTTGCCCATTTCTGGCAATAAAACAGTTTGTGTTAAGATGTTCAAACACCAAATAGAAACCTTTTGCAAAGAATCAAGTCTGCAATAACCGCGCGTACCTATGGTGAACATGCTCTGATAATATATGATGCATTATCTTTGAAACTGATTGGCCTACACCAGAAACAGCCCTCTTCATGGCCTAGTCTTACCAGTGAAGCGCCAGAGAACGCCTCAAGGCAGAGAGTACAAATACAAGATCCCACAGATATGAAGGTGTTCTTGTTTAGATGCGTTGCTTTTGACAAGTTTAGCCTTCCATGGTATCAACAGTAAACGTCATGAATCATCAATGTTGTGCCAATGAAGTACACAATGTTTAAGTTTTATTTGAAACTTTTTTTGACACTCCGTGTAAGACACAGACCTTTACTCACGAGGACGGCGTCGCTCATTAAAAATAAAATTAAAACACAAACAGTAAGAGGCGTTAACACGTCACACAGCCCATCCGAATTTGAATAAACAATATTTAAATATGATACAAATCTACAGAGGGAAATACTCAGCAAGTATAAAAAAATAATTTATGTACAAAAACATTTATTTTATCATTTGATTCAGTGGCTTGGGCACCACGCTCAGTCATTGGCAAACAAATATATAACAATAACTTGATTTACATTTAACTCGCCTAAGAACACTTGAACACACACCTCAGTATTCACTGCATCGACACACGCGCACACTCACATCCAGGGGCTTATGCGAGGCATGGCATTTGATTGAGGGAGACAGTGGCCACCTTGCTAGAAACAACATCTCGTCTTGGTGTACGTAGTAGCGTGGGCAGGTCTCCAAAAGATGAGCAACTAGAGTTCAAATCCCAGCCAGGGTTGTACCTTAGCCCCATCATCACACTATCACGATCATCTCTCTCGGGTTTATATGAAAGAGAGGCACCACTTGGTGGGAAGTCAACCATGGTTTAGGCCAAGTGCAGACTTAGACCCGCCAAAGGAATTTGACATTTCCATCAGTGGCGCACAACTTGGTCGAGCTCAGTTGAGCATGAGGACACTCCCCGACTTTTACCGACCACCAGGAAATATCTTTCCAAGTTGAACTCACACTTCTCCACATGATCATGTTCCATGCAATTAACATTGTGCGGAAGTCTGTGCCAGGTATTAAGGCTAGTCTGACCTCATTAGCACTGATAATGATGCCTGCTTTATTGAGGGCGATATTGGCACGTAAAATAAAGATTGATTGATCAGCGTTCCACTATTTATAACTGGTCGTCAGGGGGCTGCAGATTTCCCAGGAGACCATAGTAATACACGTGAAGCAGGATAGTGTAGCTTGCAGGCAATTGTTTTAAAAAAAATGCTTTGATTGCTTTAAAAATAGCCAAGCTTAACACAAATCCTTGAAACATTCTGCGTCAATGATATTGACACCCATGGATGTGAGTGTGCATGTTTATACAGTAAATGAAAAACTTTTTGGTCATTACTACGATAAACACACAATTGCTACATACTGCTAAAAACTCCAAACGCACCACATTTGTAAAAAAAATCGTTGGTTAACACAGGTAGCAGGAACTCTACATTTATTGCATTGCAAATGCAAACTGTCTCCTCACTATCTGGAAAAGACCTTGACCAATTCATGCTGTATCTTTACATTGCTGGTGCTGGGTTTTTTTTTCAATTGTATAAATTGTAACAATAGAAACATTTCTTGGAATGCTGAACAAAATATCGCCTGAGGGTACATTAAAATAACAAAAACATTTACGTATTTAAAATTAGTCTAATTTTCAACTTATGGATTCAATCTATAAGCAAGGTTTCTGTATTTATCCACACGTACGTAAGAGTGCTTCTGGTCTTCATTTGAGGCACATATAACAAAGCATCTCCCCACTGTGTATTTATGTTGAACTTCTTTCGCACCGCACGTAGCCAACCGTGATAATCGGGGATGCACTCATGCCCATCCGTAAAATTCTCATGACTTCCTGGATTTTATTCTGACGTCCTGCATTTGGCTCTGAAAATACTTGGCATAGTTTCAAATGAAACGTTGTATTTAATCACAAAATTTGTATTTTGAGTATTTCTATTCAACTCACCAGTGACCTGAAACAATTATATAAGTGGAGTGCTAAACGTTCGTACACCACGTGACAATTTCATTCGTTTGGCTGTGTCAGGTGGTGGAAGGTCTTGTGACAGAAATTTGGTAATAATCAAATATGAACCCATGGAATGGCTACTTTCGTGAACTCCATCTACTCCTTATCCAAGAGTGGTTTCCTCCCATGTAACCTCAACCAAATGGGTCCTTCCCCCCTCCCCATGGAAGCTCATGCCCATGGTGGCACGTCCCAGCATGTCCACTTAAATGAAGCATTGTCAAGGGCTCAGCAGTTAGCATTTATCCAATGAATCTTTGACAAGTTTTTCTGGGTTTAGCGGCCAAAGTTTGAAGTGAGTTGTGCAACTTGTGTTGTTCAATAAATCGCCTACTAAATGTCGGTAACACAACTACAGTAGATTGTCTTTCACAAAAAGGTTTGAATGCAAAACAATGCCAGCTGCTTTAAAAGTTAATTCGTAAAAAAAAACAAGTGCTTTACACCGTACACAAAATCACAGCAGGTGCAATCTGCCAAAATGTAAATAATCATAATTAAATATAAAAACGAAAGCGTAGGTATTTGTGGACAGAAACGAGGATGGAGAGAGCTCCCCGCAGTCAGTAGTTGCAGAGAGACAAGCGAGAAGCTGGAAAACCCAGTGCAATAAACTGGGCCACTTCAGTTCACAATAAAACTAGAGGTGTCATGCCTGCCAAAAGTTGGAACGGATCGTGTTAAAATCTGGCTCAATAGGAGAGGGACGTCAAAACTTTTCCATGAAATATTATAAATAGTGAATTAAAATGTTTACATTTTATTGTTTAGGTGTTTAAATGTCTCAATGGTAATTTTATTTTAACCCGGGCTTGTGTTCAAAATAAAACTCGTGGCATCAATCGGCTCCAGCCAGGTCATAACTGTATTACACCTATTAAGGTACATAACCTTTCAATGTCATAAGGCACAGAAGTAAAATCCATACTGCGAGTGTATAAAATACAACGCCGAGCTTCAGTATCTGCGTTGCTTTATTTTAAAGTCGCGATTGGGACTTTTTGACCTCCCAAATGTCCCTTTAATAGAGGTAGTTTGTTTTTAAAAGGTCACTGAAAAAGTTTTTCTTCTGGTATGTCGAAGAGTGTTAAGGTACAGGTCTCAAGCGGATGAGACATTAACAGTTTATTCAGCCGTTTGGCAGATCAGACGCTGTGCTTACAGATTGGGGCCACTCGGCATGCAGTTGTGCTTTAATTTCACGCCACTTCTGATAGATGAAGGACGGAGGAGGGTCGGTTACTGAGCCAGGCATTGGAGTGGTCATCTCCACGAGTCCAGTGACCAAGGGGGGAAGACCTAACAGCAGATAGTGGGAGACTATAAGGGCAGGTCTCAGAGGTTGTATGACTATTGTGCAGCAGCAGCTGCGGGGATCTTGCCAACGGTTTGAACGCAATGGTAATGTGTGGTGGCACCAACGGCTTAGGCAGTGATGACGTCTTGGTCTGGGAGTTGATGATGATGATGATGATCTCAAAGCGTCTCCCTGCTTAAACGAGCAACGGGGCTGGCACTCGTATTTGTCGGCAGCCCTGAGCCAATGGTGGAAACTCCACATTCACATAGCAGGGAGGGGCCCAGCATCCCCTTAAGACAAGCAAGCACTGGTGACTTCTCACATCGCGGCTCTCGTGTTATCGGCCCCCCGGAGGGATGACAGGCTGATGCGATATGATAATAATAATAATAATAACGTATCAACTGCTGGAAGTAAAGCGGGATGACAGCGGTGGTTGGTAAACATTTCTACGCGTGGACATTTGAGCACTGCAGGCATGACACCTCTAAGAGTGTTTTGACAACGGCACGCAACCCGAGTAGGCTTCAAGGCAGCGCAAACGGCGGCAGAGCGAACGCACTTGCCCTTGCGCATCTCCCTGCGTCCTTACCCATAAATCCCCTGAGCTCTAACTCTTTAAGTCACCTTTGCGGGTGTTCGCAATTCGGGAACCAACTGCAACGCAGCGGCAGCGTGTGGTCCTCCGACGGAGCGGTGAAAACTAAAGCTGGAATGTAATTCACGTGCGTGTGCGCGTGCGTGCGTGCGTGCGGCAATGTGTATCCGAAAGCAGCCGCCATCTCCACTGGTTTTACTCGGCCTAAAGCGGCGACGTGTAAGCGGTGTATCATCACGAGTTCCAGGGAAGACAAAGGCGGTCAATTGTGAACAGTACTGCCCACACTGTCACGTGATGACTGTCCTGACAGTCTCAAAGGGAGATCCTCACTCTTGTGCGTGTGTGTATGAGAATATTTGTGCAAGAGTGCGTGCATAAGTCTTTGTGAGTGGGTGTGTATATGTACGTGCATCTTGGTGTGGGGAGCGGTGGTGTAGTGGTTAGTGCGCTACAAACCCAGCGACGGCCAACACCGGTGACGATTATCTGAACCGGTCCTGGGCCTCCCCTAGGTCGACTCAGCCTCAAATGAGTACCTGGTGCGGTGTGTAAACATCGCCACTCGGGAGACAAAGGCAAGTCGGGGTGCTGGCCACCCACCCCCTCGTGTGCCGTGTCAGCGTTCACAGGAGCGACACGCTAACAGCACTTGCCCCAAAAGTCCGCTAAGGCTATATGGGAGATCTTTGTCTTTGTTTGTTCATCTTGGTATGTATTCCACAAGGTTCTGGTGCCACCCCAGGACTAACAGCCGAGCAGCCTGGCCAGGCGGGTGATGCACAACGCTTGCTCTTTGGCTGCCAGGCTGATGACGTGAGCAGGGAGAGCAGGAGCGCCCAAGTCCACCTGAACACACACACACACACACAAAGACAAAGACCCCCATAATAGTCATTGAGACTGATGGGGCAAGAGCTGTTTGAGGACGGTGCGCGATGGAGGTGGTGTAGCCAGCACTGCTCCTGGCTGCCTTTGTCTTCCCCATGCTGATATTTATACATTGTGCCCTGGTACTCATTTAAGGACGACCTAGGCGAGGCCCAGCAATGGTTCAGATAATCGCCACTGATGTAAGGGGCCGTCCATAAATGACGTCACGCGATTTTGGCCGATTTTTTTTACCCCCCCCCCCATCACACGGCGTCACAAAAAGTCAGACCCCCCCCTCAAATATGACGTCACAAAGCTCTGCCCCCCTCCCCCAAAACCATATTTCCATTTTGAAAATAAAAAATGATTCAAATCATTTAAACTGTTGTTATTGTAGTGCGTATTTGCACTCTGTTGTAGGAGAAAACATGTATTAAAATGGAGGCGTTGGAAAGCTGAAATTTAGCATAAAATTTACTTGAAAATATTCAACGTATAACTAAAATTGCAGATGCTCAGAATATTATATTGAAATTCTCATATAATTATAAAATATTAAGAGTAATTATAACTATAAAAAAATACTTGAAACTTTGTAGTAGAATGAACCAAAATGCAGAGTCAAATGATAACAATCACATATTCATTCCACGGAATGAGAAGCTTCTCCATTCTCCCATGGAGAGGCAAAATGCTCCTTAATGGAATAAATACATTTAAATAATCAAATAGTTCATAATTAAAATTAATCAAAATTAGTGTTGTTATAACAATTCTATTTTTATATTTATTTAAAGCTGCGCATTTTTATGTGACGTCACATTTCTCAAACACCCCCCTCCCCGCCTAGGTGTGTGACGTCATTTATGGACGGCTCCTAAGTCGTGGCTGGGAACCGGAATCGGGTTGCCGGACTTGTGGCACAGTGAGATTGAACAAAGGCAAAAATCCTCAGATCATGGCACCTGCCACTCATGAGGCTACTGGACTCACCGACAGATCAATAAGCTCCCTGAAAGCCTGGGAGGGTCACTGTGTCAAACACAATGTCGACAAACACAATGTCGACAAACATAACACAGGCTTGTCTCGTGAGATACCTGGGTGAGGGTGATGATCCTCGTGAGCTCCTGGCCCTGCCTCCTGCACGGCTGAACGAAGCACGCACTGGGCAGCAGCTCGGCCCGTACCATCTCACGCGCTGGGAGGGGGAACGCCTCGTTGTACACGGACTGCGCCACTTTCGCGTAGCCGCTCTCCTGCACCGCAGCGCATCGGGTGAAGGGCGCGCGCACAGAAGCCAAACACAGAGGGCGAGGTTACAGATTATTGGCAATGATAATTCTCACAAACAAATTTAGCTCGTGTGTAGATGACGGCGTTTCACTTGAAACTGCGCCAAGCAACTTCAGGACAGAACCTAGGCAGTTCGAGTCACTGTGTCACCTGACCCAGCTTCTAAAGCGGGTGTCACGACATTTCAGGAACAATGACAATTTTACAGCCAACCAATGGTGATTTTGAAATGCAGTATATATATCGGTAATTAAATGCAGAAAGTCAATGTGTTGCTCCTTTACCTCTTTGAAATCAGCTGCCAGGCAACAGAAATCACGCGGCTGCTTCAAGTAGCAGGAGGATGAATCGTGAACAATGTGAACTGAAAAGAAAGCAGAAACAAATCAACGAGGCATACGCAAACAAAAAACACAGCACAGACACACACTTTTAAATGTCCAAATCACCAAGCGGATACTCCTAAGCATTGTTAACTTTCGATGCAGTAAATGTTGCGTCTCTGCGACCGTAAAACAGGTTATATAAAATACTGCGTGTGTCGAGCTGTAACAAAAAAACAACCATGCCTTTCGCCTCATTATCCTAAATCACTCGGAAGCAGATTTTGATGGATAAGGAATGGCCCAGTTCTGGGCTAGGATCAGCAACAGGGCATGTATGTATGTAAGTTGAACTTTCGCACCATACGTAGCCAACCATGCCAACCAGAGGTGCAGCCTGGGTCCATGTGCCCATGCTGCGCTAGCCGTGAGCCTCTTAAGCTAAGCCCTGGCACTCTGTACGCTCCCTACAACTCGTTCATCTATTCTATACTTTTCTATCCTTGTCAATGATGGCAATACGTTCAGGAGCTAGATGCCAATGTCGAGGTCTGCTCGTCATGACGAGAGGGCTTCAGGAAAGAGTTCGTATAGTTTTGCTGTTCTTTCTCCTTTGACGGAACGCAGACTACAGTGGTTTACTATAGGGTACACAGTTTGGATTGCGTTGCCGTGATCGCACTTCTGTGGCTTGTGTCTTCAATTTTCCATTCATGAAGGAGATGCGCGCATCGGGTCTGTCGATGTTTTTCTGCAGTTGACGGCACATCAGTGTCTCATGCGGGAGTAATTTTCAAAGCCAGGAGGTGCAATGTTTGCGTCTCGAATAAGGTGTTCATTTTTTGATTTAAAGCTTTCGTGACTGCAGTAATTCATATTCTTAGTTCTTTCGGTAAAGTCACGTTGAAGGGAAACAATAAAATAATAAAAAATATATAAAACAATAAAAATTCTCACGACGTTTCGACCATAACACAAACGGTCGTCATCAGGTGTGTCGGTTTGCATAAATGTATTTATTAAAAAACGGTGTATTTATTTATTTATAAAAAAACGTTAGCGCCGCGCGCAGCGATTTGGCAGTTTATTTAGAAGGACTAGTCCATCTATGTTCTGAAAAGAGGAGGGGGGAGACGAAAAATTTAATGTATGCTGTCTGAAAGCCACTGTAAGCGTGAACAATCAATTAAGACCTGAAATGGTTTATCAAATCTTTCCAATGATTGCTAAGCCAGAATCCATCTTCTCGGTTGAAATTGTCTCTGTGCTTGTATATGTGGATAGCCTCATGAATGAATCTCTCATGGTAGCCAGATGGCTTACAAAGAACCTCTGTCTTGGAAAAGTCAATGTCATGTGAGCCTACTGAATTATAACAATGATCTGCCACGGCCGAGGTGTTGGTCCTACCGTGTTTAAGGTCTGCTTTGTGTTCACGAATGCGGTCCAAGACATGGCGTTTGGTTTCTCCAATGTAACTACTACCACAGAGGCAACTTAGTTTGTAGACACCAGGGTACTGTATGTCCGGAATCACATCTTTTACAGACGGAACCAGATCACGGATTTTATGTAATGTGTTGAAATGGACCTGGATCTTGTGTTTATTCAAGATTTTGGAGATATTTTTTGTGATCCCCGCAATGTAGGGTAAAGTGATGGTTTTGAATGGCTCCTCAAGAGGGTCCTTCTTCATGGTTTGAGTGATAGCTTTGCGGATTGTATAGTCGGAGTAACCATTAGCCTTAAGAGCTTGGTGTACGTGCTTGAGTTCACTACCCTTGATTGTCGAATACCCTTGATTGATCGACAATCAAGGGTATTTCCCTGTCCCCAGACGACCTGCTTGTCAGTTTTGATGTAGTTTCCTTATTCACCAAGGTTCCTGTACCTGACACCATCGCAATCATTGAAGACTTGGTTCATCAAGGACTAAACACTGAGTTACCCCCCCCCCCCTGGTGAGACACTGTTTAACCAATACATACTTCACTTGGAATGGAACTTTCTACAAACAAACTGAGGGCACCCCAATGGGCTCCCCCCTATCTCCGGTTATAGCTAACATTTTCATGGAGAAATTTGAGACTGACGCCATCCAGACTGCCACTCTGCGCCCAACCTTATGGAAGAGGTACGTGGATGACACTTTTGTCATCTGGCCACATGGCCGGCCTGCTCTAGACCAATTCTTCGACCACATCAATTCCATACACCCAGCCATCAGATTTACCGTGGAAGTCGAAAAAGATGGCAAGCTACCTTTTTTGGATGTCCTAATTAAAAAGAGACCTGATGGTTCAATGAGCCACTCTGTCTACAGGAAAGCTACCCATACAGATGCTTATCTGAAACCGGATTCCCACCACCATCCATCACAGAAGAATTCTCTCATCAAGACTCTGTATCATAGAGCCCAATGCATATCCGACCAGGAACACATAGGCAGTGAACTCAAGCACGTACACCAAGCTCTTAAGGCTAATGGTTACTCCGACTATACAATCCGCAAAGCTATCACTCAAACCATGAAGAAGGACCCTCTTGAGGAGCCATTCAAAACCATCACTTTACCCTACATTGCGGGGATCACAAAAAATATCTCCAAAATCTTGAATAAACACAAGATCCAGGTCCGTTTCAACACATTACATAAAATCCGTGATCTGGTTCCGTCTGTAAAAGATGTGATTCCGGACATACAGTACCCTGGTGTCTACAAACTAAGTTGCCTCTGTGGTAGTAGTTACATTGGAGAAACCAAACGCCATGTCTTGGACCGCATTCGTGAACACAAAGCAGACCTTAAACACGGTAGGACCAACACCTCGGCCGTGGCAGATCATTGTTATAATTCAGTAGGCTCACATGACATTGACTTTTCCAAGACAGAGGTTCTTTGTAAGCCATCTGGCTACCATGAGAGATTCGTTCATGAGGCTATCCACATATACAAGCACAGAGACAATTTCAACCGAGAAGATGGATTCTGGCTTAGCAATCATTGGAAAGATTTGATAAACCATTTCAGGTCTTAATTGATTGTTCACGCTTACAGTGGCTTTCAGACCGCATGCATTAAATTTTTCGTCTCCCCCCTCCTCTTTTCAGAACATAGATGGACTAGTCCTTCTAAATAAACTGCCAAATCGCTGCGCGTGGCGCTGACGGTTTTTATAAATAAATAAATACACTGTTTAAAAATAAATAAATTTATGCAAACCGACACACCTGATGACGACCGTTTGTGTTATGGTCGAAACGTCGTGAGAATTTTTATTGTTTTATATATATTTTATTATTTTATTGTTTCCCTTCAACGTGACTTTACCGAAAGAACTAAGAATAAGGTGTTCATTCTGAACGTCTGCGTCGCTCCACTCTGTTCACCGTCGTTCTTCCGGACCTGGGTGGGATTCTAGGATGGTGACAGCATCGCGATCCCGGAAGGAGGGGTGCGGGGGGGGCGGGAGGATCAGCACTCGAGGCACTGTTGAGTTCTTGTTTCATGGGGAGGTTATCATTGGCAAGAATGTGTGTAAACTCCCCCCCTACCCTCCACAGTTCAAGGCGAGGGTCAAGAAGCGATATTAAAATAAAGTTTGATTATTATTACATTACACATATAAAAAAAAAAAACACGAATCTGGTGATCCCCTTACCGAGCTGGGAACCGTCACCCAGGTCCCGGCAGACACTGACGCGCGTCACTCCCCCGTCGTACAAACTGCGCCGTCCTGAGTTGCGCACCAAGTCCCACACGGCATCGGCCGGCCGTGCCACCACAGCGGCCACCAGGAAGCCCCACCGTGTCGCCGAGGCCAGCGGCTTCACGAACACGAGGACGCCCGACTCCACGCTCGCCCGCCTGTGGCAAACGTCACGTTGCGGGCACGCCGCCGTAGTCATCATCATCATCATCGTCGTCGTCGTCACCTTCATCATCTTCATCAGACCCGTGGGGATTCACGGAGTTGCCAGTGATTCCTCGCCACGGTCATTATTTATATTATTTGGCTGCTATAAATTTCCACGTGATGATAAGCCACTTCGTTGAGCTGGCGTTTGTGGCCAGGTTGCTTCTGAGAAAGAAGCTAACAGCTCAGTGGGCTTTAGCTGGTAAAATAAAAATGTTTTTCACTTTTTTTTTGCTTTTTATTGATTTGTTTACGCTTCTTATACTTTGCACTGCTATCATGTTTTTGTGTTTCTTGTTATCAATTTCTGACCTGCCCCTACTGGACATCTCTGAAAAAGAGCTTTATAGGTCATCAGATTCCTCCTGTATAAATAACTGAGTCCGCGGTGCGATGTACAGTTCTGCTCTGTCGTACATTCTTGAACGAAATCGCTGCCTCGCGTTGCTTGGAAGTGCGTTGTAATAAGGTGCTTGATAAATAAGAAGTCAATATGACGATGATGATTGATGATGATGATCATGAATGCCTGCATCATGCCAAAATTCCAGTGACTGATTTTTTCGACACAATACAAAAAAAAAAACCTCAATTTAAATATTGAAAAATGTTCGTCACCATATTAGCATGAAGTGGACTCGAGGCAATTGCACAAGACACCATGAGCAAATGCTAATTTCTATTATGAAGATGCATAATAGGAGACGTTTCAGACAATAGCCCTTTTTCATCGGACATAAATTAGTCTTCTTTACGCTGAAGGGCCACTGCCAAAAATGTGACCTATTTAATATAGATATTTTAATTTTAAAGCAGCGTTATTGACGAATATGTTGAGGTTTTTTTTTTGTTAATTGTGCCTGTGCACCACTGTCAACGCAAAAGCAACAGCATCACCAAATAATTGTTTAATTCCACACCGTGGCAGTAGATTTACTGTTCTAATTTATAAGAGGAGAGTGTGTGCCGTCAACATCGCCACGTCATTTATTATGAAGATGGGGAGGACGGTGGAAGTCATGAACGGGACTCGCATCACAAGCCAGCAATTACAAACCTCAGATGCCTCCGAGGTCACAACAACCCCCGCACCTCCGATTTGCACGGCTGGCTAATCGGAGGTGCGGGGTAAGGACACCAAACTAAACACAATAAAACAGTTCTAAAGAAAGAAAAAAAAGTTTTTTCAATCTAGATATAAAAGTTCATAGCTCGAATGGCTTAATAATATCGGAAGAGCGTTCCAGACGGCCGCAAAAGTGCATCTGAAAGCTAAGATGTTCAAACACCAAAGACACCTTTTGCAAGGAATCAAGTCTGCATTAACCAGACGTACTTGTGGTGAACATGCAAACAAACATGATCTGATCATTATTCTATATGCATTGTCTTTGAAACTGATTGAAACTCATAGGTGTCTATTTGGTGTTTGAACATCTTAACCACCTGTTGTATTTCCAGAAAGGGTTAAATCTATTATTACTTTTTTCATGTATTGCGGTCCATTTGTGGCAAGCACTTTGTGTGTAAAGTGGCCCACGCAGCCCTCTGCAGTGCAATTCCAGTGGCGAGCGCGAGTGCGTGGGACTTACTGCCATCCTGCAGAGGCGACTCCCTCCAGGAGGCAGTCCACATCTCCGGCCGATGCCGCCTGAACCTGCACAAAAGACATAGTTCCCCCGTATCGCCTTAACAGACTGTTTGGGGTAAGTGCTCATCGGAATAAAGACAAATATCGCCCGTATCGCCTTAACAGACTGTTGGAGCAAGTGCTTTTACATCATAACCTTAACTCTACTCACCTTCCCGTGGAGTTTCTATGGGTACAAAAGTTGCTAATAAGTACAGCAATTAAATAATGCACTTCAGCGCATTACGTAACACATTACACGGTGCACCTAAACATGCACCGCTATATTTCACAAGTCACATAGACATGCAGTGCATAATTACATTACGCAGTGCACATTGGCGTGCAGCGCTAGATTTCACAATTCACACGGGCAGTCAAGAGAGCGCTGACCTCCGCCCTGGTGGTGCTCAGGACGCCGCGAGCGATCGCTTGGTATTCGGCAACGTCCGTGGGCGGCGGCGGCGGCGATGTCGGCAGCGCCAGCCGCTCGTAGCTCCGTCGCCATGGCGATGGGGTACTCTGCGGGTTCATAGTTCAGAGGTCAAGGGTAGGTATGCAATAATTAAGGCACCCCCCCCCCACCACCGGCAATTAAATGAATTGTCAATTCTACGCGAGAATCAGCCGGGGTTTTTTCATCTTGTCTTTTTTTCGGTCTAATTTTATATAGTTCTAGATTTGAAGCTTTCGTGACTGCAAGGATCCATACTCTTTGGTTCTATTCGGTAAAGTCACGTCTGGTCCTTTCACCTGATGAAGGCCACTTGTGTTGTGGCCGAAACGTCGTGAATTTTTTATATAGTTCGCTGCATAAGTCCACATTTCACATGAGCATACCCATTTAGAACGGAAGGGGGGGGACAAACAAACACAAAAAACACGGAAAGGCGCCTGAGTCAAGAATCGAACACAGGCTCTTCTAGCCGCGAGGTGAACGCGTCTGCGACTGCCCTGCCACCCTGCCGGCCTGCCACCCAAAGGCATCACCAATGCGCGGCCTGAGCGAGTCTCCACCTACAACTAAACGAAATTACTTTTATTTCACCAGGCAAGGCCCACTGAGCTATGTAGCTCTTTTTCAAAAGTGACCTGGCCACAAATGATAGCTCAACAAAGTGGTTCATCACGTGGGAACGTAAAGCATCAGCCAAATACTGGAAACACGTTGATTTTAAATGCGGAGGGAAAAAAACCGGAGGACCCGGAGAAAAATCCACTTGACCACGGGGAGAACACGCAAACACCAAATATACAGCGGGCGTCCGGGTCGGGATTCAATCCACAACCTCCTTCATACCAGGCGAGGCAGTTAACGTCCCGCCACCGGCTCCACGCCCCGTTCAAACCCCCCTCGCCTGCACCGCGGCGCCGATCGCGAACGACGGCCCGAGCCGCGGCGCCACTCACCGCCACGCCGAGGCCACGGCACTGCAGCGGGGGACTGCGGCTGCTGTAGCCGGACGTGGGCAGTGAGGCGAGGCTGCGGCTGCAGCTGGTGCACAGGCTGGCGGTGCTGGCGCTGACGTCGGCGGCGCCGGCAAGCACCGCACGATGGTGATCCTGCGGGAACGGCGACGGTCGGTGGCGGATCGGTCGGGCCGGGCGAGCACATTTTTTGTAAACAATTGCTTAGCTTTTTTTTTTGCCCACGTTCCGAGTTTATTTTGTTCGACCAGGCAAGGACCAGGACAGAGACTTATTTGCAAGAGTGAGTGAGTGAGCAAGCTCAAGTTTATTTTGTTTAACCAGGCGAGAACTCAAGGGTCCAGGATAGAGTCTCGTTTGCGAGAGTGACCGGGAGTTATTAGGCTGCCGGAGGGGGTGTGCGGTGATGTTTGGAGTTTAGAGTCCTTGGCTGCGATCAATTTACACGCGATAAGCCACTTCGTTGAGCTATCATTCGTGGCCAGGTCGCTTCTGAAAAAGAGCTACATAACCCAGTGGGCCTTACCTGGTAAAATATTTTTTAAAATGTAAATAGTTCAGTTTATGTATAATGCAAATTGAGTAATTTGCACCATCACACCGGGACACAATGGCCTACTCTTGCGAATGACGTCACGGGAACTTTAACGTCTATCGTGAAGCGCACGCCGCATATTCTTTCGGTTAATACAACCGTGGTATTCACCAGGGCGGCCGGCTGGATTTGAAAGGTGAAACTTCTGCAACGGGCAGTGATGTCACTGGCGTAGTAATACATTCCCATTGTGATACAGGGTGTCACGTAGTAGGGACAAAATGAATTGGAGCGCTTGCGGTGAGCAGAGCCTCTTCAACCCTTTGTCTCATTCACATCGAGTCTCGAGTTTTGTATCTCGCTTGTATTATGCGTGCAAGTTTGACAACCCACCTAAATAATTCAATACGTCTATCATGGGCATCAGAAGTGATTTTAACCGCCGACTCTGAGCACTGTTGCACACCTACCAATCAGTATTTCTGTCCGGTCACCCACCCGATCGATCGCCCACTCACCCGCTCGCCCACCCGATCAATCTCCCGCTCACCTGCTCACCGACCTGACCGATCACCCAATTGCCCATTCGACCATTCGCCCAGGTCGCCCGCTAACTCGCTCACCCGCTCGCCCAGTTGGCCGCTCGCCCAACCGAGCGCGCGCCCCACCCACCCAGCCACTCACCGTGGCGGAGGGCGTGGAGCCGCGGTGGTGGCTCAGCCGGCGGCGTTCCTGCAGGGCGCGTTCGCGGAGGCGGTGGCGGGCGCGCTCCATCTGGGCACAGGCTTCGTCGCGCGCGCGCTGGTAGCCCCGCAGCAGCTGCTCCACCTCGGCCGCGCCGCGCGACGATCGGCGCCAGCCTCGCCCGCCGGCCACGCCGCTGCACCACGCCGGACCGCGCGGCAGAAGCGGAGAGCGGAGAGGATTACGCACCGGAGCGAGCGATTGTAGGACAACGACAACAGACACAGATGCCTCATATACAAGCCCACATTGAACCAATGCTGCTGATGATGTGCACTCCCGGAAGGCCATACAGCCAGACAACTATGGGAAGGTGTTATTTAATTCGCTGTACAGACCTGTGCTGTTAGCGAGCACCTATTGCAGCCAGCGTACGATCACGTGGCAGCAAATAGATTCCCCGTGTAGCCTACACCGACTGTTGGGGCAGGTGCTACAAGCGAAGGCCTCTTTAGACAAAGATAGGTTAAAAAACAAATGAAGAGATGGGGAGGAAGAGGGGCGGGCTGGGAAGAAGAAGTGCGGCAAAGACGAGAAGGCAGCTACAGGGCGCCACTGCTGCCATAAAAGTCATGGCCGGGCAATAGGCAGCGAATTTAACCTAGAACTATTTTATTTTAGCAGGTAAAGTCCACTGAGCTATACAGCTCTTTTTCAGAAGTGGGCTGGCCACAAATGATAGCCCAATGAAGTGACATATCATGTGCAAATTTATAGGAGCCAAATGCTCTTAACGCGTGATGTTGATTCTAAATGTGGAGTGAAAAACCGGGGGACCCGGAAAAAATCCACGCGACCACGGGGAGAGAGACACCGCAAACTCCAAATATACAGCAGCAGGCGTCAGGGTCGGGATAAAACTCATGACCTCCTGTATACCAGCCGAGGGAAATAACATCTCGCCACTGCGGCGCCCTAGTGAAGAGAGCATCCTCTACCAGGCTGAGCTGTAGGCATCGGCTTCAAGGCGCGGCACCATCTCGTCACCACCGTCGCCGCCACCGCCGCCGCCGGGGCCGCCACCGCTGGCGCCGCCCAGCCAAGGGATCGGCGACGGCATCCTCGTGGGCGGGCTCCAGCGTTGGGCGCGATCGCCGTCGGAGCCGCGACCGCCGGACGGGGTCTCCGCGGTGACGGGCCGAGGCAGCGCCAGCGGCGGGCTCGGCTTGCGGGGGCTCAGGCTCCGCGAGCGGCGGAAACGGCGGAGGCGCTCCTCACGCTCCCAGCGCAGCCCTTCGATGACGCTCGCGTGCCTGCGGTGGAGGAGAGCACGAGCGCACCGCCATTATTTTACCGCGCTACGTTAATCGTCGTCGTCATCATTGTCATCACCGGCAGCGGAGGCGGCGGCAGCAGCCACGAACGATCGGCCGTTGGGCAAAGGCCTCCCCAACTGAGACGTCGCCATCCGTCAGGCTGCCACGATGCCGCACGGTCCGTCTCGCTCCGGCGCACGGGCCGATCCCGCCGCTACACCTCCGCAGCGGGCGGCCCCTCGAGAGCGTTCCCCTCCTCTGGCTGATCTTTTCATTCCGTGACATGAGTCTCGCCCCATCGGCCATCGACTCCTCGAGCGATGGGTCCTGCCCGGGCCAGTTTACGTTTCTTGACAGTCAATAACGATCCACCCAGATCATGCGCACGAGCTAATCTCGTTGCCCCGTTTCCACAGTCGAGGTAATCTGTGCTATTAAGAGTAAATGCATATAATATAATATTATTGATTTGCCCATAAAACCCACGGTCGGCCCCGAGACTTTTGTTCTACATTGGCATGTGTGGCCATTTCCATGAATGCGTATTTGGCTTTTACGAGATATCCAGAGCACCTGGAGAAACCCCACGGATACGAGGCGATAATAACTCCGACGGATAGATCCACTGCTGTACTGCAATCTCTGAGCCACCTCCCGAGCCAGTAATGCCCAAAGGCCACGATGAGACCACGGGGCTCGGATAGCGGCCCAGTCTGAGAGGGCTTTGCCGCCTCAGCCGGCAGAGACGGGACACCAAGGGTCCATTTGGTACGAGGTTATGCCTCAAGGTTTGAGGCAGCGCTTTGATCAATTTATTCAGTTTTCTGTAGAGTAAGTCCTAGATAGCAACACGATTTTATGGAAAAATGTTGTTCACATTACACCATCCTGAGAGTCACCATGCCCACTTGTTACAGACAGATAGGCAAACATACAGTCATCAGGCTGGCAGACAGAGGTAACGTATTACAGTATTCCCTCGTTATAACAATCTTGCAATCCGCTATTTCGGCTATCTGCGAATTGCATCTGGAATTCTACACGACTGCATCGAGAGAGAGGCAGAGAAAGAAAGGGTTGAGAGATAAAGTAATGAGAAAGATAGATACAGAGAAATAACTTCTTGAAGCTTTAGAAACATTATCCGCAAAATTTGCAATTCACGAGCATCTCCGGAACTATTCCTCGCAAATACTGCAACACGTTTAACCTTGGCTGGAAAACGTAAAACATCACGAGCAAAAGCTAAACTATAAAACTGAACTATTTTTATTTTAACCAGGTGAGGCCCACTGAGCTAATACCGCTCTTATTCAAAATAGACCTGGACACAAATGATAGCTCAACGAAGTGGCTTATCATCACGTGGGAATGAATATCAGTCAAAGCCAAATGCGTGATGCTGTTTCTAATTGTGGAGGGGAAAAGCGGACCACGGGCAGAACAGGCAAACTCCAAATAAACAGCAGGCGTCAGGAGTTGGGATTGAACCCATGTCCTCCTGCACACCGGGCGAGGTAGTTAACATCCGGACACTCGGGCGGCGTACCTGCGCAGGAGCTCCTCCGACGCCGTTGGGGGCCGCGTCGCCCGCTCGGAGGGGGGCCCGTCGTCCAGCGCGCGCAGCATGGCGTCCGTCTCGCCCAGGGCGTAGTTGAGTTTGGCCTCGGCCAGCTCGACGCTGAGTGGCCGACGGCTGACGCCCCCCGCCGAGAGCAGCGTGGCCAGCACCATCTTCCGCTCGCGCCTCAGCTCCTCCAGCTCCATGGCTCGCGCCGCCATCTCGTCACCGCCGTCGCCGCCCGCCGGCTTCCCGCAGGCCACGTCTGCCCCCCGTGTCGCCAGCCCTTTGGCCCTGCCTTCTGTCCTCTCCGCTGTTGCTGATTTGTTGTCTTGGTGGTGGTGCTGCTGATGGTTGTTGCGTTGGTCGGTGCTCGATGTCGTCTGGTGTGTCGCATCGCGTTCAAGCGCAGCGTCAATCTTCCCTGCGGTTGGCTGACTGGACGGATTGTCGTCGGGCACGTTTAACTTCTGGACGGATTTGTCGGTAGATTTGGAGGACGGGGGCTTCGAGATTTCGAATCCTGGACTTGATCCTACTTTGTCACTGCCAGCTCCCGACCACGTGAGCTCTGTGTTCACGAGCCGCGGTTCTTCACCGGCTGACAGAGGCACCCTCTGAATGGGACTTGGTGAATCGGAGGAGCGCGTCTCTTGTTTGTGACAAGTTAAAATGACAGGGCTTGCAGAATCACCTTCCGGTTTGAAATTCGAATGCGCAAGCTTGACTTCGCCGTCAGAGTGCCGAGGAACTGGTGTCCAGATCACCCAACGTGGCTCGCCTGAATCAACATGAATTGTCGCATCAGCGTTGGCACCTAAAGCTGACCCGATCGTGACCTTTGTTCCCAACGAAAGCTCGCTAAGGTGCAACGAAGTCTCGTGGGGAACGGGCTTTCCCAGAGCCTCTTCTTCGGAAGAGTCCGCAACATTTTCAGCACGGTACACTTCCGCAATCATGGGATTCGCATCACCATCAACCGGCGACTGTGCCGGCCCTGCTAGCAGGCTCACCTGGATGCCCGACCAACCGTGAAACTTGTCGTGCTGTGGCAGGTCTGACGGCAACGGGCTGAATGATTCGGCTCTGCTCGCGCCGCCCCCTTCCACGGCGTCTGCGGCCTCGTGCTCCTGCGGTGGAGAGGCGCCGATGGGCCGAGCATTGAGGAGCTCGTCGGTGTCGCAAGACCCCGTGGAAAGAACGCTTTCAGCCATCCTCTCTGCCTCCTCGTCTGGCGGCCGCGGCGGAACGGCGAGCGGTGGTGCCCCGCTGTGACGACGCGTTCGACCCGGCTCTCCGTCGACGGCGGCAGCACCCGAAGAACGTCCATCATCCGCTGCAGGAAATTCGAGCCGCGCTTCGAACCCGCCGTTGCCGCCGTCGCCGCCGTCTTCTACTCCGACTTCCGTCCTCATCACCGGCGACTCCTTCCGCTCCAGATCAAATGCGTCCGGCTGACAAACGTGGCCCGTGCATCGACCGGCGCTGCGGGCAGGTCTGCCGTCGACGCTGTGGCTCAACGCGTCCCATTCGGTCTCGTCGTTGGGCGAAGCAGATATACCGCGCGATGAAGACTGCCTCGGCTCTCGGCCTGACGAAACACGCTCGGTGAGCAACACGTCGGGCTCGCTCTGCCTCTGCTGCCAGCGTGGATCTGCCGCAGGCGCGGCCACGGAGCCATCGGTCTCCCCGGCGATCCCTGGTCCCTGCCGCTCTCGAGAAACCGGGCAGCCCCGCTGGTTTGCGCTGACCACCAAGATGGGCGATGTGGAGCGGTCGACGAGGACTTTGGTTGCGATGGCGTCTGCATGCATCCTTGAGCGGGGGTCGGGCACCGGCACGTTTTCCGCCACTCCCCTCGCGGGCGTTCGTGGGCGGCTCACCCAGTCTCGGCCTCGCACGCTGAAGGTCGTGGGGTCACGGGGCTCTGTTTCCGCGTCCGATCCCGTCACCTTGATGATGACACTGAAGGTTTGGTTCTGAGACGTCTCGGCGAGTATCAGCTGCCGGTCCCCCACATACATGCTGCTGCTGCTACCACCACGACCACTATCTCCATGACTGCCAAGCGAAGTGCACTTGTCCGTCTGTGTACTGACATCCGCGTGAGTTGTCGCGCCAGCGTCGCTCGCTCTCGGTGGGCGACGGAGAGACGAGGAGTCAGCAGAATTCACCACTAACTCGGACGGGCTGAGCAGGGGTGACTGAAGGCCAATGTTGCCCAGAAGATGAGTGGTGTTGATCAGAAGCTGTGACAGGTGGAGAGATAAATTGTGAAGGCTTCTCCACTGATGGCGGCCTAGGAGTTCAGCAGGTGGCAGAGGTGACGGCCCGGTGTGTTGACATCCTCCCAGTCTGACGTCGGTCACGCCAGCGCCGGCGATCCTCGTCTGCGTGCACCTCTCCACCGTGACGACGAAGTCCGAGGTCCCGGCGTCCGCTGCCGGCGTCACCGCGTCGGTCGACGACCCGCCGTGCCGTGATGGTGCGGTGAGGTCATAGAACCCGTAGCGAGACTTGTGCTTGCGGCGGCCACGATCTTCGGGCAACTCGTCGGGGCTGCAAAGCCACGGCCGCGAAGCGGCACCGTCCGAGCTCCCCTCGTCACCGCTCCCGAAGGTTTTCAACAGTTCCCGGGACACCTCCCCTGAGCCGGAGCTCGTGCTGCCCCCCGAACTGCTTGACGGCTCACCCCGGTTCACGGCGTACGAGCTCAGGTGAGAATCAAAGGGCAGGCCCGTGCCGTTAAGGTCGTTGTCCACACTGGAGCTGCGGTAGCGTTGCACGGCTCCCTCCCCGAGGTCCCGGCCCGCGGCGGTGACCTCCGAGGAGCTGCCGAACAACGCGCGCCTGCGACCGGCGCTGCGCCTTCCGCGCTGCTCCTCCTGCCACCGCTGGCCGAATGGGTTGACGTCACTCGGCACAAAGGTCACGGCTTGCTGGCCGCATTCCTCACCGAGATCGTTGCCTGCAGAGCGCTGGGCATCGTCAACGCCGCCGCTCGAAACCGCGCCACCCACGACCGTTTGGCCGTTAGCGCCGCCGGTTGCTTCTGCGGGCGATTGCTCTTTCACTGGTACAGTCGCCTGACTATGTGTCATGTGACCATCTCCTGCTGTCTGACTCGGCGTGGCACTGCCTTCAACAAGCTGCTGCTGCTGGTTTCCGTTCTCTCCCTGTGACTCGCTTGTCAGACTCACATCTGCCGTACCATCTGTTTGACAGGACCTTGGCCCCGTGCCGAACTTTGGTTGCGCGTGTTGGCAGAAAGCCTCTGTGCTGCCGTCTTCTTCTTCCGAGGTGCTGGACACCACCGAGTGGAGTCTCGGCTCAAACACTGGCGTCACGATCATCTCGTCCCCACTCTCTGAAAACAAGTACGACCTCCGTTTCAACCATTCACCGCCCACGGGTGAGCCTTCGGACACCTGGGGATACGCCGACAGAAGGTAGTCGAGAGGATGCCCGATGCCCAGCGCTCGTTCCTCGTGTCCGTCAGGCAGAATGCAGCACCTGGATGCCTCGGCAGATCTCGGTCTGGAGCTCTTGGTATGGAATTTCCCTTTGCCCTTTGCGTCGGCTGACCTCGGTCGCTGTTTCAGCACCGAAGGCGGATTCGACTCGTCCTGATGCCTCTTGCCGAATCTCGGATGCTCCATCGCACTGTCATATGACGCGCGAGCCGCAGCGATGGGCGCGGCGGTTTCACGGTTGCCGCCGGCCTGGCCCGCGTGGCCCGTGAGCACCGCATCTGCGCGCGGCCGTGCCACCAGCGAACACTCCGCGTGGGAGGGCCTGTGGTGAGGCCCGGAGAACGGCCTTCTCCTGTGGACTTGCGGCTCCTTCCTGACCTCCTCACTGGACGACGTCGACTCGGAGGCGCGGTGCCGCCTCGCCTGCTTGACGGGCCAGGCCGTGCCGCCAGCATCATCGTCCGGTAGACGGTGACATCCTACCGACAGCCCCCGCACCCCTCCATCGTTCTCGCTGCTTTCTGTGGAGAGAAGGCCACCGCTTCGGCTTGCCGCTGAGCTCCGCATGGTCTCGCTGCCCGAGTCGCCGCCTGCCACACACCCGTCAGGGCAGAGGCCCCCAACTTCGACCGTCGAAGCGCCCGCATTCGCATCCTCGCCACCGCCGCCGGTGGCTCTCACGGCCGAAGTGGGACTGGCGCCGCCCGCATTCACCGCGATGTCTTCCGGCGCGCTAACCAAAGCAGGGACCATCTCGACGTCGCTTAAGATGTCGATCGACGAGTCGGCCGTTACACTGCGGCTGCTTGACAACCGCCCGCCCGTCCGGCGTGGGAGGGGAAGGGAGGAGCTGCGTCCTTCGTCATCTTCCTCCTCCTTCCGGGCCGGGCTTTCTTCACGGTCGATGGCCCTCCCCTGGTGGTGCCCGATGGCCTGCTCCAGTAGGTGGCGCAGCTGCTCTCGCTTGGCGGGCGTGAGCTCCCCTGAGGACGACGCGAAGTCCTCGTCCCGCGGGTCCGCCATGATGTCGAGCCGCCATTCGGCCTGGGAGCCTCGGTGCTCTTGTTCACCAGCGGCATCTTCGGCAGGATCTTCGGCAGCGCGAGACCGTGCGGCCGTGGCCGGCGTGATCGCGAACGATGGCGCTTGCGTGGCGATTGTCGCCACGTCCGAGCTCCATTCCGCCGCCAGTGTCCGAGCGGAGCCGTCGCTCAGTGCCAAAATTGTTCCCTCGTCTCTTGGATGAACGTGCAGAATTTCCCCCGGCTCTTGCTTCACGTCGGCGCATTGCTGATCCGCACGCTCTGAGCTCGTGATGATGGATTCCATCAAGACACCTCGAGTTCCTTTGATGGGCAACATCTCTCGCTGCCTTTCCCCATTAGCATTAGCCTCTCCTTCGGGATCTGAAAAAGGCTCCTGTCGGGCTGTGTTGATGGATTGATCATCGGCCTCCTGCACCCTCTTCAAGGCTGATTCCTCTAGAGAAATGTTAATTGTACGACACTGCTCTTGTTTTGCCGTCGGTGAAAGGTGTGGACTCGCAGGCTTGACCCCACCATCTGTAAACACACAGGCCGATCCAGGACCCCTGTCGGAAGCAGCATTAAACTCTTCATCCGGCTGTACTGCAACACCATCGGAGGCACGGCCACCCTGAGTTTCGTCGCTGAACGCCAGAGCAGACGTTTCCCCCTCTGTGAGACCACCGTCATCCTTGCCGTTGCTTCCTGCAGGCCCTTGCGATGGAATGGCGGTGTCGTTTCTGCTACCACTGCCATCTGCATCATCAACAGCGCCGGCCAAGCTTCCGACCGCTTCGGTGCTCCCTGCCAGCTGCACTGCGTCTGGTCGCGATTGAGCTTCACTGGACGGTGGACGATCTGAATCTGCCACAAGCTTTCCCGTTCTCTGCCGCTGCCCTTCGTCGACGTGAACCTCAGCATTCTCAAATGGAAAACAGAGGTCTCCTGCGACCGCTTCACACCCGCAACTCGCTGTTTCACCGTCGGCACCATCATCGCAAATTATGAAACTATCTTCACTCTCCTCGGGAGACAAGGGCAGGCTCTTTGAAAGCGCGTCAACATTTTCGCCGCTCGGCAAGTTGTCCACTGGTGTAACTTCCCCACCCGCGTCGGGACTTTTATCGCCGGGGTCCTCGGAGCCTGAGACTCGTCGTGAAAACTGGACTCCTTCCTGCTCGTCCACCGGGACTGGCGATGGTAAACGCTGGGCCCCTCGCGCTTCAGCGGTGCCGATCATTGCCGCGTTTTCCTGCTGACGGGATTCACGGCTGACGTAGCGTTGGCCGTCTGCGCCGGCGAAATCTGCATGATGTACGTTTTCGCCTCCTGCAGAATTCTGCTTTTGGTTCAAGTCAAGATCTCCACCAGCGACTTCGTGGGGCTTGGGAACGTGGGAAATGTTGTCTTTGAGGCCGCACAAATTAAGAGCTTGCACTGAAGATGTCGAGGTCACATCATCTTCTGTTCCATCCGATACATTCTCATCTTTATTACCCTGACGTTGGAGCAGGCTGAGGTCCAGTAAGAAGCTTGATTTATCAACATGCCCTTCACTGACGCCGTCATGAAATTGTGCTGCTTCTGTGTCAATTTGCTCAGAACAATCAGTGCAGTATTCCACATGGAGATCCATCTCCGATGGGTGCCTTGCTTCACCATGGGAAAATCCAATTTCTGATCCGGGGGTGCTATCTAGGTCATCTTCCCCATCATATAGATATTCAATAACTTCCATCGAATTATCACGCTTAAGGTCGACGTGCTCTGAAGAAATGCGTTTTTCACTCTCTGCTGAGTAAATGTGCTGCGTTTCTACACCAACGATCATGGTCTGCGTATCTACCCCTTCGTCCAAGAACTCGGCGTTGCCCGCCGTGTCAACAATGGCAAAAGAGCCCTCCTCCTCTTCCTCTTCGGGCCTTAGTCGTTTATCATCGCCGGAGGAGTTTGTCCCTTTGGCCAGTTTACTCGCGAGGACTGCGTCGCCGGCGACTCTCGCGCCGTCTACTTCTTCGACGACATCGTCAAACGAGATGCTCTGCATCCCGAACATGGCATGAAAAGCTTTCTTGAAGGCGGCCGTCATCGCCGGCGAGAGTCTCTTGTCCAGAAAATCGCTTCCCCCCGCCGCCTCCGCCTCCTCCTCTCGTTCGCTGGCCCCGTCGCCACCCTCCGCCGTTGAGGACGCCGTGTGAAAGGAATCCACCGAGTATTCGGAACCTCTCGGCGTGTCTTCCTCGTCCCCGCTCACCGCCGCGAACCCGTGTCCATGGTCGACCTCTCCGGCGAGGTCGTACCCCGCGGTGAACGCGTGACGTCCGCCCCGGAGGTCACTCGCAGACGACAGCGAAAGCGCGCAGTCGTCGTTCAGGTCGAACGAGCACTGGGAAAAAAGGGGGCTGGCTGCATCGTCGTCATAGTAGCCGCCACCGCCATCCCCGTCTATGCCGTCCACCGTGTGCTCGAACTCCTCCGGCACCGTCTGCAGACCGCGCTCCCAAACGCCGTCCCCCGCGGTTGCGCTGGAGGCCACCTGCGGCTCGTGCATGGAGGGGGCCTTTTTGAGCACCCCCCTCGCGATGACGTGTGGCAGCTCTGGCGCCACGCTCGTCCCTTTGCGGGGATCGTCGAAGCGGGTGCAATAAACGCCACGAGGCTCGGGCGGAACCGCGACAACGTAGATGCTGCACTCGGGTTGTTTGGTGCTGTCGAGCGACAACACTTCCGGGCCGACCGCGGGCAGCGACGGTTTTTGGTCCAGATGTCTCGATTCCTCGTCCTCGCCTCGGCCTTTTGACCCATGTTTGTGTTCGCCGGTGCCAATGAGGGCTCGGTGAGGCCCACATTCCGGGCTCTCCAGCAGCGTTTCAGAGGAGGTGTACCCGCTGTCCTTACGGCTCTGCGTTGTCTCCAGCTTGTGATGGATAGCAAGGTGGTACCGAGCCTTCCTCGATGACTGCGAGATCTTGCCGACCTTTGCTTCAACATCCGTCCGATGATCCACGTGCCCACTTTGGTCACTTTGCATCTCGGTGCTCCCCACACTGATCACACCGAACTCATCGCAGACTCCACTGTCCTCGTGAGGCGATGGTAGCTGTGCATTCACGGTCAAGCCCGAAGAACTCCCTGGCCTCCCCGTTTCCTGTCGTGATGAGGCAGGCGGCTCAATGTGGATCGTAATTTCAACGGGGGATTGTGTTTTGCCGTCGGGAGGAGCAGGTGAGCAAATGTCTGTGATCTCAGGCTGAGGTCGGGTTGCAGACTGTCGTGCAAACGCGGTCTCCGGGTCGGATGTCGCTCTCATCGCAGTCCCACCCTGGACCACTATTTCCCCACGCCCTTCAACCCCCGCGTTCTCACACTCGGCAGCGAGCATCAGTGCCGAGCGTGCGTGTGACTCATCGTCCGTCCCCGCATTTTCTTTCGCGACGGCGGTGAAAATGACCCGGCCTTTCTCATCGCCAGGAGCGAGCAGCTCAGCTTCCCCATTGCCTTCGGCGGTAAGTTCCGGGCTCACGCCGTGCACAGCACCGCGGTCTTCTGATTGGCATTCTGGTGAAAGCGCTACTGAAAGCCCAAGAGATTGTGTTTTGCCTTCAGAAGGAGCAGGCGGATGACCCGCAGCGCTCTCGGGCTGAAGCAGGACAATGACAGATTCTGCGTGGTGCAGCGAAGAAACACCCTCCAGGTCGGGCATCACTCTCGTCGCCGTCCCATGCTGGATTACTATTTGCTCACACTCCTTAACCTCTGGGTTCTCACACTCGGTCGCGTACACGAGTATCAGGCGCGCGCCTCGCTCACCGTCTGCCGCTACATTTTCTTCTACGGTGAAGCCGACTCGAGCCTCGCCGCCGGCGAGCGGCTCTGCTTCTTCGTTTTCAGCGATGGCGTCTTCAGTCAGACTGCGCGCAACGTTGCCATCTCGCATTCGATGCGCCGATGAACGCAGCGCAGAAAGCCCAAGAGAATCTGTGTGCGGCGGTAGCCCGCCGCACTCTACACCGTAGCCACGATTGCCACACGCCGTCTCACGATTGTTCACGTCGCCGGTTTCTGTTGTGCCATCGCCAAACACCTCGACGCTAATGCCAACGATCGCCTTCGCGTTTTCGTCATCCTCCATTGCACCTTCCGATGATGGAGCCTTTGCTCTTTCCACCGAATGAGAATCTGGTGCTGGCGATTCACTGCAGTGGGGCTGGCAGGTTTCAACAGGGTGGGTCTGAGATTGTGGGTTGTCGAAGTGAAGACCATCGTTTTGGTAGTTCTGAAGTCCTTCAGATGCCTCAGGGTCTTCCGTTAACACCATTCCAGAATCGTCATCGCTACGTTGTTCAGCAGTATTAAATGTTTTCTCCACGTCAGCTAATTCGCGAGTTTCTTTCACTGAGATAGAATCAACTGGTGGTTCCTCTTTAATATTATCTTCATCTTCTGTTGGAGATGCTACAATCATCCCAGCATCTTCATCTTTATCAGCGATGATATTTTCTGAACATGTCGTTTCTGTGTCCACGTCTACATCATCTGTTGCCACCTCCATGTCTGATATCTCACTTGCTTCTGATACACCTATGGTGGTAGCCGTGAAGTCTTCTTTTGAAGCAGCGTTTTCTTTTAAAACTTCTGATGTGGCTGCTAAAGACAGCAAATATGTTTCCTCAGAAGTAGCAGCTGCAAGCAGTTGAGATTCATCTGATTGAGAAGTTGGGCATATTCCAAAGGACTCTATCTGAAGTTGGGGGCTGCCTGTGTCAAGGCCAAGGCGTTGGTTGAAATCGGTGTCTTCTGCTGTCCCAAGTTGCGTGGCATCATCTCTTTGTGTTATCACGTTGCTCCTAACATGGTCTTCCATTAACACGGTCGCAGAATCCTCATCGCTATGGTGTTCCGCATGTTGTTCTGAATATACTGTTTCCACAGCAGTATTAAATATCTTCTCCTTGTCAGCTAATTCGTGAGCAGGTTTCACTGAAACAGCATCAATTGGTGGTTTCTCTTTAATTATCTCATCTTCTGTTACAGCTGCTACAAATGACACACATCCTGGCGGTGATGAAATTATCTCACGATGTTGGTTCTGGTAGTTATGAAGTCCTTCGGATGGCTCACGTTGAGGAATACTTTCGAATTCTGAAAGTGTACCATGAACAGAAAAGTCATCCTCTGTCTGAACCATCCCAGTGTCTGTATCTTTATCAGCGGTGAGATGTTCTGAACGTGTGGTTACGCTGTCCATGTCTACATCAGCTGTTGCCACCTCAATGTCTGATGTCTCACTTGCTTCTGCTATACCTGCCATGGCTGATAACACAGAAACCGCTTTTTCATAAGGAGCAACTGCAAGCAGTTGAGGTTCATCTGATTGAGGTTCATCTGATTGAGATGTCAGAAAAATTCTAAGACGTTCTTCCTGAAGTTGGGGGATGCCGGTGTCAAGGCCAAGGCTTTTCTTGACATCGGTGTCTTCCGCTGTCCCAAGTTGTGTGGCATCGTCTGTTAGTGTTATCACGTTTCTCCCAACTAAAACAGTGTCTTCCGTGAACACTATTCGAGAATCCTCATCGCCATGGTGTTCTGCGTGTTGTTCTGAATATACTGCTTCCACGGCAGTATTATATGTTTTCTCCTCGTCTGCTGATTCATGAATGTGCTTCACTGAGACAAAATCAGTTGCTGATTCCTCTTTCATAATCTCTTCATCTTCTGCTGCAGAATCTACAAATGATACAAATGACACACGCCCTACTGGTGAAAAAAATAGCTCACGATCTTCGTTCTGGTAGTTATCAAGTCCTACAGATGTCTCATGTTGAGGAATACTGTCTGATTTTGAAAGTACACCATGAGCAGGAATGTCATCCTCTGTCTGAACCATCCCAGTGTCTTCATCTTTATCAGCGGTGAGATGTTTTGAATGCATCGTTTCTGTGTCCACGTCTATATCAGCTGTTGCCACCTCCATCTTTAATGTCTCACTTGCTTCTGCTACACCTATGGTGGTAGCCGTGACTTCATCTTTTGAAGCGGTGTTTTCTTTCAAAGCTTCTTTCGTGGCTGCTAAAGACAGCAAATATGTTTCCTCGGAAGTAGCAGCTGCAAGCAGTTGAGAGTCATCTGATTGAGATGTCGGGCAAATTCCATGGGACTCTTCCAGAAGTTGGAGGCTATCTGTGTCAAGGCCAGTGCTTTGGTTGAAATTGGTGTCTTCTGTTGTCCCAAGTTGCGTGGTGTCGTCTATTTTTATTATCACGTTGCTACCAACAACATGGTCTTCCGTTAAGACCGTCCCAGAATCATCATCGCTACGGTGTTCTGCGTGTTCTTCTGAATATACTGTTTCTACAGCAGTATTAAATATCTTCTCCTTGTCAGTTGATTTGTGAGCATGTTTCACTGAGACAGCATCAATTGGTGGTTCCTCTTCTATTTTCTTTTCATCTTCTGTTGCAGATGCTACAAATGATACACACCCTGCCGGTGATGAAATTGGCTCACGATCTTGGTTCTGGTAGTTGTGAAATCCTTCGGATGCCTCATGTTGAGGAATACTGTCTGATTCTGAAAATGCACCATTAGCAGGAATGTCATCCTCTGTCGGAACCGCGCCAGCATCTTCATCTTTATCAGCAGTGAGATGTTCTGAACGTGTCGTTACTGTGTCCACGTCTACATCTGCTATTACCACCTCCGTGTCTGATATCTCACTTACTTCTGCTACACCTACCGTGGTAGCCATGACATCTTCTTTTGAAGCGTCATTTTCTTTTAAAGCTTCTGCCGTGGCTGCTAAAGACAGAGAAGGGATTTCTTCAGAAGTAGCAACTGCAAGCAGTTGAGATCCATCTGATTGAGATGTCGGCCAAATTCCAAGGGGCTCTTCCAGAAGTTCGGGACTGCCTGTGTCAAGGTCAAGACTTTGTTTGACTGTTTCAAGTTGCGCATCGTCATCTGTTTGTGCTATCATGTTGCTCCCAAGAACAGGGTCTTCCATTAACACCATTCCAGAATCCTCATCGCTTCGGTGCTCTACGTGATGTTCTGAATGAACCATCACTGTGCCAGTGTCACATACGCCCTCCTCATCTGCCGGTTCATGAGCGTGTTTTACTGAAGCCGACTCAGTTGGTGGTTCCTCTTGTACAGTATCATTTATTTCCTCTCCATCTTCCGTCGCGCATTCTAAAGGTGACACGTGGCCTACTGGCAAGGAAACAAGCTCGCGAATCTGCGAGTTATCTGCGTGACATGAACTGACGAATTCCGTCGACAATGAGGCGTTTGTCGATTTGAGACCCGACCTCTGTCCCGAGTTAAATTCTCCCTTCGCCTTCTGGTGGGAAACGTCCGCTTCCGTTACCATATGGGCAAGGACGAGCACTTCACCTGCTGGATCTGATGCCGGGAGTTCACCTCCGTTGGCTTCAATTCGTCGCAATATAGCTGATTCCTCGCCAATACCCAAAACACACGCGATCACTTGCTCAGCTGTTGCTTTGGTTTCTTGTTCCGTTGCACCAGTGTCGATTGGGGCCTCATCATGCACAACCCTCGTCTCAGATTTAAGAGACGAGTCTTGCGAATCGCCATGTTCAAGTAGCTGGAATTCACTCTCACGGCACGTGTAGATGTAAAGAGTTTGTGGCAGAGACATTGGCTTATTTTCGAGATCTCGTGCTCCCGCACCAGTGGCATCTGTAACATCCTCTGTTGACGCCAGCCTGCTGCCGTGATCATCTTTCAGAGTTCCTTGATCCTCCAGACGAATCATCCCTGAGACGCCACCCGAAGCATCGCCAACCTCCCCCTTTGCCACTTTAGCTTCCTCTACTGCAGCGGCCTCAATGAGAATTTCTCGAGATAAGGGTGTGTATGTGTCTCTATCGTCGGGTGTGTGTACGCCAATGCAACTTTCTTTTTGTCCTTGGCAACTCACATCGATCCCCATGTGTAAAGTGGTGTCGTGCAATTCATCCTCTGATATGGCATCACTATTGATCGTTGCCACCGATGAAACTGCTTCTGAGTCTTCTCCATCTTCCATCGACTTTTCCGAAAGTGCAGCATGACGCACGACATTAATCATTCCTGAGACGCCACCCAAAACATTGTCAAACCCCTCCTCTGTCACTTTAGGTCCCTCTACTACTACTGCAGTAGTTTCAACGAGAGATTTCCGAGATTGAAAAGTGTCTGTGTCTTTATAATCATCGGCGTTCAGCTCTGAAGGTATGGCGTGGCTGCATTCACCAGGATCAGATTCATTTGCTTGAGGTGCTGCTGTACGGGATGTCTGCACTGCAGCATCGCTGCTCTCGTGATGTTCTTGGGAACTCAAATCAAGTCCTGATGGTAGGACACCGTGAAGATCCTCTGCTGTCTTCTCATGTGTGATGTCACATGATGGCTCTGTTGTAATGGTGCCACCAACAGAAATTTCCTCCGATGGAACCGCTGCTGCTGGGTCTTCTAAGCCACCCATTGCCCTTTCTAAGGGAACATTGTGTCCAATTTCTGAGACGTCAGAGTCAATGGTTCGTGTTGTGTTAACGCGGGCAGAGACAATCTCAGGAGATCTTGACTGAAATTGTGGGACACCTGAATCAAGAGCAAATCTTCGGTTGTTCTGAACATCCTCTGCTTCCAACGCTGGCAGATCAAAACTCCCTGCAGCTCGTGTGTCACTGATGCTGCTTTCCGTGGTGTCCGCTTTATCTGATGACACATTCGAAGTCTCATCGTGGAGCTCAGGCAGACTGCGCAGAGCAGTAACCTCTTTAAATTCACTGCCGACCGCAATTGATTTATTGTCCAAAACTGCTTCCTCAACCTCAGGGTTAGCGATTTCCACGTGCATGCTTCTCTCTGCATCGTAATGAGTATTACTCATCTCATCACGCTGCATGCCACACTGCCCTTCACTAATTCCTACAGGACTGTTGGGCAGAACGTTTAAATTGTCTCGGACAGTTTCTTGCATGGCAACATCCTCATCTACACCCTGGTAACTATTCGTAACACATTCCTTGCCAGACAACGATAGCTCTTGGTCTACGGTCACATTTGAACTGCTTATAAACCCTCCATCTTCTTCGCTGAGCTTGATTAATTCACTTTCGATTTCAGTGGAGAGTGGTGCTCTGCTTTCGGAAAGCTCCTGAGAATTTAAATTGCTCTCGGCCTGTGAAGGGTTGTCAACAGATCTTATGCTATAAGTTGGGGAAACACCTCCGAGGTCAGAGTCTGCCACCTGGACATCTGTCACGTCTCCTCGAGGTGTAACATTTTGCTCAGGATCCACGCAAAACACAGATTTGCTTCCAGGCGAAGGCACGCACGTTCGCGATTCACTCGGATGGTCTGGACCGACGTCTCCTGAATCTGTGAGATTACTCAACTCAGGTGAACACTTTAAGTCTCCGTGAGCTTTCTCACCAGCCTCCTCCTGTTGAGCAATCTCTACTTCTGCCACCGAGTGGGTAACAGCAGTATCCGTTTCTTTTACTGCCAGCCCAGCGTTTTCACCTCCATCAGACTTACACTGCTGTGGAAGACTCACTTCTGAAACCAGATGCTGATAATTCACCGTCCCCTCTTCCCCTTCTTCACTTTTCGCCATTGCAGTCGACTCTTCTATCACCTCCACAACAACTGCCGATTCCGGTCTTGGACTATCAGCCTCAGCTATAGTTTCCGAGAGTACAAAACACGCCACTTCAGCAGACCCCAAATCGATTGTTTGTTGCGAAGTTGCAGGAGACGAGTCAGTTTCACTTGATTCTTTGGGAGATACGTTGTGGTGGGGAACATCCAAGTCTGCGCTTGGCTGGGCTGTGCTGTCAACTTCTTTCTGGCCTGGTCTCACCTCTCCTCTCACGGCCACAGCTGAGTCGTCACCTCCTTGTGCCGTCTCATCTGAAGGCAGCGGGTTATTTGATGCCCCTTCGTCTGCGAGTACGCTTGGTTGATTTGCGGGAGGCACGGCGGCTTCAGGAGAGTCCGCATTCAAACGCTGATCGCCCAACCTAGGCCCAGGCTCGTGAACATCTGCTTCCTGTACAGTGACGTTAACTCCTCCTGTTGCAGCATCGCCACCACCTGAAGCAACACACTCAGCAGATTTGTCATTCTCAATCACACCTTGTTCTGCGCGCCCTGGCGATGACGTGGCTCGTCGGGCACCTGCGTTGTATTCTTCAAAGCCAAGTGGAATTTCTCCTTGAAGGCTGTCTTTTGAACTTTCACAACTTCCTGTGCCACCTCCTAGAAGCGCGCCACTCCCTGCTCGAGCAGAACGACAAGCGTCACTTCCTTTAGGTGGGTCTGATTGAGGCATGCTGGTTTCAAGTAAGTCTAACGAAATGGTCTCAGATGACTCGGCAATAGGTCTTTGGTGGTCATGGACCTCAACCATTACACGTGGTCGGTCGGCGTCGACATCTGCATCGTCTATGGCATCTACGGCAACTGAAATGTCCTCTGCTGAAACTGGCTCAGAGAGACTGGCCTCAGAGCCTACGGCCACTACACCTTCACGAGAGCTGCCGTCAGTCTGCCCGTAAAGCATTGAAGGGGACGGCTCAATTATTTCCGACTCCGCAGCATCTGCAGGCAGCTGTCGAACAATTTCAGATTTCGCACGTGAAGAGCCATCCTCTCGTTCCTTCACACCCGCATCGGCATGGCCATGGAGATGTTGCTGTGCCGCTAAAGCCGGCAAGGAGGGACTTGGAGCGGCTCGATCAGCGACCTCGGCATTGTGCTCGCGGTCACCAAGCAAGCTGGATGGAGGCGTTTGTCCTTCCGTCGGCTTCGGCGTCCAGTAAAACTCTGTGGGCACATCTCCGTGCTGTCCGTCAGCACCATCCCCAGTCAGAGGGGCGTACGGCGAGTGAGGGACTTCAAAATCGACCAGCTCCGTGAAGCAGTCTGGAAGGGATGAGGTGCGCACCCGCGGCCCCTCCCGCATCTGGGGTGGCAGCACCGCCCGGCTCGAATGGCGCAGCGAATCCGGCGACAATGGCCCTTCACTGTCGCTGCCTCTGTCGCACGACCACGAGTGGCGCTCTGCCGCGCACAGGGCGCTCTCCTCTTCATGCAGCCGCTCCTCGAGCACCCTCAAGTAGGCCGAGGACAGCGAGTCCACCGAGTTGAGGCTGTCGTCGGAGAAATCACATTCGTCGTCGTCGTCATTGTCGTCGTCCGTGCCGTCGTCAGGTGCCTCCTCGTCCTCCAGAAGGACCGACGATCGGACGTCGCTCTCCAGCGGATCGGCGCTCTGCCACCGCCTCGGCCTCGGTGCCAGATCCTCGACAGGGCGAAGGTCTTCTTGGGAAACATGGGCGTCGCGGAGACTTGACAGCTCCACCAGGGAGATGGCCGCCTTGAGCGCGCACAGTCGTGCTGTGCCGGTGAGCGCGCGCGCCGGCTCCATGAGCCGCTCGCTCCTCGCCGGGTCACGCAGCTCTGTGAGCGACACCGCCGCCGCCATAACGCGCGATCCGGCGACCTTCACCCCCCGGCGGGGCGACGAGGCAATCGGCTCCGCCAGGTTTCCCGTGGACCTTAACTTGACAAGGGCGTCGGCGCGGGCGGCCGGGCCACGGGACTCGCCGCGACACCCGCCGTCCCACAGTCTGTCCACGCTCTGTGAAAACGGACGCGGCGGCCTGGCGGGCGACACCCCCACCGGTCGGCCACTTCTCCCCGATGGAGGCTTCCTGTGCAAGGACGGCCCCGCGGAGGCCTTCCCGTCGCCGCCCCTGCGCTCGCCCGGCAGCAGCTTGCGCGAATCCCCCTTCTTCTTCCCTTGCGGCTTCTGCTCCGCAAGGTCATCTTTGCTCGGCTCGGGGGCTTTCCCCAAGCCACCGGCCCTAAGTGGCTGCACGGCCCTTTGCTCGCTGGGTTTCATCGAGCCCTTCATGGGCCTCATTTTGGGATTGACCGTCGGCACGAGTGGCGCCCTGCCCAGTGCTTCGCACGGGCTCTTTGGCACGCCGTCGGCCGGCGCCTCCGCCTCTCTCTCGCCGCGATCCTTCAAGCTGTGCTCCTGTCCGCCAGACCAGGACTTCGCCACCCGTGAATCTGGCCTTCCCTTGGGGCCGCGAATGGGCGACACCGCTCTCGGGAGGAATTCCTCGGAGCGAGCTTTTCGCGGGAGAGTCATGAAGTGCGGGCTCGGGCGTGCTGCATCCGGAGGCAACTTCCTCTTCAGATAGCTGTGAGCACAGAGCAGGAAAATAGCAGCACAAAACTGCACTTTAGTTCAACTCATGCACTTCTTAAGCCACAAAGTCAAACGAAAAAACAGCAACAGTAAAGGTACAGCCCTGCGATTGCTTCCCCAAGCCACTGCTGGCGCAAGGGCCTCCCAGAGGGAGCTCAAGCGAGCCTCTCTAGAGGGAATTCAGCCTCCTTTTACACGTTGACCAGGCGACTTGAAAGAGACAGTACTCACCACCACTTTACCCCAGCACACGTGACCTGCCCATCGATAAAACTGTGGTGTACCCCTTTTAATACCGTCATTGTCAAGGGCGCACCATCATTTTTGTTTTTACAGACGAGTGCAGGCACCCACCCGCCCTCCCTCCATACCTGTGCAGCGGCGAGTTGTGCGGATACAGCCGGGCTGTCACTTCGGCCGCGCGGCCAGCACCCCGCGTGCCCTTGGAGGCACCAGCGGGCCCCGAGGGGCGGCATGGGGAGCCTCTGCGGGCGGCGCGGGCCAAGCGGTTGCGCGCGAGCCGCCCCGCCGCCTCCAGCCGCCGCAGCTTCTTCTCCTCCTCCAGGATGTGCTGGCGCTCGGCCAGGCGGTCCAGCCGGTACTGCACCCGTCTGTGCGGCAAATGTGGAGGAAGTCAACGACGATTCGTCGTGTTTATACGCGGAAAGCGCGGAGCTGAATGACGGCGGTAGATTCTAAAACACCAGTCACCAGCGAAAGATATTTTGCACGGGACTTAAAAAAAAAACCTTCACATGGCCTTTTGCTCCTTTGGAGAGGTGGGGCCGCTTATATTCCCTTACACTCTCCTTTGAGGTTTGTTGTTGTCGCATGGCAAGGACGAAGCTCGAATTTAGCCAGTCATCGGTGACCAGGCTGAGACCATAAACTCCCCACACACAAGCAGCTGCCCACATTCAAACCCAGAATTTCAACTTTATTTTTGTTATTATATTTTATAAACTAAATACTATTTTTACATGGTTGGTTGGCACTTCGAATAACTCAGCCAATCCTCCCTCCAGGCTCATTTAAATTAGTACCACTCTGTAAAAACTAAAACAATTTTATTTTACCAGGTAAGGCCCCGCTGAGTTGTATAGCTCTTTTTCACAAGCAACCTGACCATAAATGATAGCTCAACGAAGTGGTTTATCACGTGGAAATTTATAGCAGCCAAATACTCTAAGCTCAACAAGTTGGTAAGTGAACAAGTGGTTATCCTACGAATTCAGGACTGCCGATGGCGACGAACGGCCGACCCCATCGCTCGTTCGACACGGACGACGGAGGCGTTTCGAGCCACCTTCGTTTTTGTTTTAAGTGCGATGACGCTCCACGGTCACTCGACCCCAGCACCTGTGAGCAATGGTCCTCTTGACGCACTGCGCCGAGTCGAGCTGCAGCAGCTCCAGGTGCACCATCCTCTGCCGCTCCTTGTCCGGCGGGGCTAGCGGCGACGTGCGGGCGCTGACAGTGGCACAGACGGCGGCAGGCCGGGCCTCCCCGTCCACCCGCGCCATCAGATCCGGCTCGCGCGCCTCATCGCTGTCCGCCAGCCCAACGGCCCGCTCGGCCGTCGCCGCGATGCCGCCGCCGCCGCGACCGGTCGCTGCTTCTCGCTCGTCGCGCGCGGTCCCCTCGCGAACCATCCGGCATTCTCCATGGAACGAAGCCAAAGGCCGAGCGGCCGCCGCTGCCGCCGCCGCCACGACACCGCCTCCAAGGGCTGGAGGGGCGACGCTGTCGCCGCAAGCTCGAGAGCGGTCGGCCGCGTTTGTCCCCATCGCGGTGTCGGTGTCCTCGTCAGGAATCTCCGTCGTGGCTGAGCCGAAGTCGGTGCAAGCATTGTCCGTCTCACCCTGACCGGCCGTTGTATGCTGTGCGTGGAAACAAACGTCACTCTACATCGACCACCCCCCCCTCATTAATATTCATGAGCAGGTGACGTCACTCTACATCGAACAGCCCCCCTCATTAATAATAATTATAAGGTGACGTCCTCCAAATGGACACCCCCCCCCCATTCATAATAATAAGCGGCTGACGTCACTCCACATGGGGGGCCGAGGCGCCTCCTCCCCCCTCCTCGGCGTCAACTCACAATCCTCACTGCAAAGGCAGAACCCTCATCACGTCATCACGTGATCTCCGTAACACTGTTGTTGAGACATCGAAGTAAAAAGGACGTCATGATGAACAAGGGATTATAACCTTGAAATGAAATAGGTCTGTGTCACCGCGCCCTTGCAAATTGCACACGAATGGATGCAATGAATATATCACGTCGCGGTCTGATTTTCGCTTTGCAAGTTTCAGATTTACTGCGATACACCCGTCCTTGGACGGGCAAAAGGCTAGTTCAAGAATATTTAATGAAATTACACGACATGAGAACAAATGTGTCCTTCAGGTATCATGATCATTATTATTAAAAACGCATTTACCGAATATGCCCATGAAGGTGGAGCGGCAATGCCGTGGCGAGTGCACTGCGCTTCGAACCGAGCAACCGGAGTTCGATTCCCGGCTACGGCTAACCAATCGAGCGCTACATGAACTGGTTCCCCTCTTCATCGACCCACGCTGACCAACGGCGATGGAAGAAGAACGATCAACCAACCCCTCCGACTCGCGCAGCGAACACTTCATCCAGAAGCGGTTCGGCACAGGGCTGTTACATGATGTATTTATGTATGTTGAACTTCTTTCGCACCGTACGAAACCCAACCGTGTTAATCGGACGAGCAGGGGAAGGACAACAAAATAAACACAAAAAGCATTTTTAAGAAATTAGTTTTTAATCCAGCGCATGAGTCCGGTGGGAGTGCGCTGGGTGAGATGTTAAGAGGCAGCGTCTGCACCCTCCACTGACCACACCCCGATCTCCCCCCACTGATCCCGCTCACCCCACTCTACCAGGCTTACCCCATTCAATTTGACCGCTCTTCATGAAGAATTCGATTTCTCAATGATTTATAAACGTATTATGATTCCGTTCCATTATTGCGTATGGCAGCAATGATGATCAGGCGCTAACATCCAATGCCGTGGTCTGATTTGCCACTGCGAGAGGGCTTCAGGATAGAGAGAGTTCCTGTAGTTGTTCTGTTCCCTCCTTTACAGGAGCGTAGACTACAGTGGTTAATGATCATGATGAAAGGAATAAGTGAATTCTTTGCTGTATGTAAGTTGAACTTCTTTCGCACCGTACGAAGCCAATCGTGTTAATCGGATTTGCAGAGAAGGACAACAAACTAAATACAAAAAGCAGCTCAATCTGGATAATTAAAAAGTGCATTTCCTAATATCGGAAGGAAGAGCGTTCCAGACGGCCGCAGAAGTGCATCTGAAAACGCGCGATGCGGCGACCGTCTTTGTTTGATGGCCGAGCCAAAAGCCGCTGCTGCGTAGGATGACCGGAGTGAAGCGTAAAATGGCAGAGAAAAAAACACACGAGAAATAATAGCTTGAGCGACGGCGCACACATCCGGAGCATGGGGGACACTCTATGAGAGCCGGATTGGCATATTGGCTAAACGGCCGAAACGCATCGCCCTGCTCCTTTGCCCCCCGTTGCTGGCAACGTACAAGAACGCTCGCCTTTACGGTTCTTTCACTTCCTTTGAATTCGACCGGACAAATCGATACAACTGCACACCGACTGGGCTGTTCGCGCCCACGTCAGAAAATTTTGATTAAAAACATCTGGCAAGGCCGAGCCGTGCACTTGCGTGCGTGCGTGCGTGCGTGCCGGCAGTGACCTCTGTCGATTCGTCGCCGCCCTCTGCGAGCCGCTGCCCCCCGTACGGCGCTGGCCCGGTCCACGCGGCCGTGACGCCGCACGCTCCCGTCGTCGCTGCCGCTCCCGCCGTCGTCGCCACGCGTCGCCCGTGGCCGCCCGTGCCCGCCCCGGCCCGCACGGAGGCCTCGGCCGGGTCGGTGAGCGGCTCCGTCTGGATGGCCGACTCGCGCCGGTCCGGCGACCCAAGCTGCTGCAGGTGATGCGACTCATCCTCCATGCAGCGCTGGCCTAGGGGGAGCAACGGATCAATCGTTATTTTTGTTGTCATAACCGTGATCATCACCACTGCCATCAACACTGTACATGCGAGTCTGACTGCTGGACGAGGATTCCGCCGGCGCCGCGCGGGTTGCTTAAGGCAGGGAGCGTGGATGTGAGAGCAAACAAATACGGCACAATAATGGAGTTCAGATCACTGGCCTCCACTTCTCACAACGCAGTCCCACTGGAGCGCTGTTCACCCTCTCCAGGTTCAATCCCTGCTTAGCTTCCAATTGATGATGAGATCAGGTGCATCCTGAGTGTAACTTGCTGACCCGCCCCGACTGGACATCCGTGACAAATGAGCTTCATAGCTCATCGGATTCCTCCAGTCTAAATAAAGATTTCAGATTCTGATCCTGACCATTGTCGCCGCCACTGTCACGATCATCGCGTGCGCGCGCGCGTGCGTGCGTGCGTGTGTGTGTGCGTGTGTGCGTGTGTGTGTGTGTGTGTGCGTGCGTGTGTGCGTGTGTGCGTGCGTGCCGCTCACTCTCGCGCAGCTGCGTGTGGAGCAGCTCCTCGTCGATGCGGAGCTGGCGTGCGGCGCGGCGTCCGGCCTCCTCGCTCTCGCGGCGCAGGCGCTCCAGCAGCCGCCGCTGGCGAGCCACCTCCTGCTCGTACGCGCGCAGGGCCGCCACCTCTTCCTCCTCCTCCATCCCCACCGCGCCCACCAACCCCTCCGCCAGCCCTGCCGCCGAACCCGACGTCTCCTGCTGCTGCTGCTGCTGCATGCGGGCGGCATGGCACGCCGGCTTTAACTACCCGAGAAGGATGATATGAGTCGCGGTTACGTATGTATGATGTTGAACTTATTTCGCACCGTATGTAGCACAATGTGCTAATCGGAGGTAGCAGGGGTAAGGACAAACAAACGAAACAGAGAAAACAGTTCTCGAGAAATTATTTTTCAATCTTGATGTAAAGTACATAGCTCCAGCGGCTTCCCAATATCGGAAAGATGATTACTGATCACATTACGGTTGCGTGTTTGCTGAATATTTATTTTTGTTCGCATCATAATACGTCGTCCTATATATATTTTAAATGTATGTTATATGTTCAGTCAAGAAAAGTGTTCAAGGAGTTCTAATATGTTTGGGAATATGCCATGATGAATGAGGGTTCGTCCATTACCTGGGACATCGCCTATTATGGATTTCTTTTATTTTTCGATTGTGGCGGTGTTATTGACAAACAGGGTTTCAATCCCAGCCCTAACGCCTGCTGTATATTTGGAGTTTGCATGTCCCTCTCTCTCCCAGTAGTCGTGTGGATTTTTTTCCGGGTCCTCCAGCTTTTTCCCTCCACATTTAGAAACAACGTGGCGTTTTAGAGTATTTGGCTGCGACAGATTTCCACACGACATAAGCCACTTCGTTGGGCTATCGTGTGCGGCAAAAGTCGCTTCTGAAAACTAGCTCTACAGCTCAGTTGGGGGTCTTACCTGGTCAAATAAAACATAGTTTAGTTAAAATAGTTTATAGAGTTTGTTGTTGTCTGTGCGCCACTGCCAACGCAGCAGCATCGCCAAATAATGTTTGAGTCTGAAGACAACCGAGAAAGATTTAATAATAAGCACCAACGACGGATGAAGGCACACGCAAAACAAACACGACCCCACCGGCTCACGTTACAGCGACAATACCTGCTCCCGGGAGAGACTACGATCCGTGCGCGAGCGATCCTGTGCGGCCGTTCGATCCGGATTCCGGCTCCGGTCCGGGCCTTGCTCGTTGCCGGAAGTCTCTGCTGGAAGTCTACGCCTGTAAACAACAAACACCTGGGCTTAAACCTCCGAGTCACCGGGAGCCCAGCGGCAGCCACCGCCTCTCAAGCAACTTGAACCTGAGCAGCTGAACTTGTTATTCATTACGATGCTAACGCAGTCATTAGGGATGCAGAGATGAAATATGGGCTCATTGATAAATAATTATTCTTAAGCTGAAGGCCTCCCAAGCCGTCGCCATCTATGTATGTTGAACTTCTTTCGTACCATACGTAGCCAGACGTGTTGATCCGAAATTATGTCCAACCAATGTACTGAAAATTACACGTGCAAAATCGATTTTTTTAAAAAAAAAATAATGATTATTATTACGCTCGTTTATCCAGAAAAGCATCACTGAGTCTCAAGACTATTTTTCAGGAGGGTCCTGCCAAGCTTTTGCAGTCGTGAGCAATGTGTTTTTGCAGGAGGGAGAGATTTTTTTTTGCAGTAAGGGGGTGACATGTTATCCCAATTGGGTAATTTGCTGGTGATTTTGTGGCATTGGGATGTTTGGCCAAATCCGGTGACATTGCACATTGTTGTTGTATTTTCATCTATGGGAGGAAACCCATGCCTAAGAGGGCGCGTGAACATGCAAACTCCACCGCAGTAATGTGCAGGAGGAGGGAATCAAACCCTGTGAGAGGCACAAGGTCTACCACCGTGGCACCCTGCCCGCCAGACTGTGAGTCGCAGTGTTCATGTATGTCACAGGTTCACATTGCCCCTTCCAGCCAGGAGAGACCGCTACATTCACCACAATGTTAAAACAAGAAATTATTCCTCAATCAGTAGTAATAGGTTTTTACCCTTTTATCTGGCACCAAAACTGACACCTTTATACAAGGCATCATGTTTGCAATAACCACAACACAAGCAGTCAAAATGCAAACAAAAAAGAGACAACTCTGATAATGATATGCACTGTCCTTGAAATTGATTGGTCCACACCAGAGACGGCTTTTCTTAGAGCCTAGTCTCCACTGGTGTTGGACCAGATGACGCCAAAAGGCATATAACTCAAAAACAGCGCACTATCAGAGCATTGAGAGCTCGGGATAAGCATTTACATTATGAGACCTCCCTTGCCAGTAGCAAGATATAGTAATAGGTTTTTACCCTTTTATCTGGCACCAAAACTGACACCTTTATACAAGGGATCATGTTTGCAATAACCACAACACAAGCAGTCAAAATGCAAACACAAAAGAGACAACTCTGATAATGATATGCACTGTCCTTGAAATATTCTTCAATGATTACGGTCGCCGCATCCTCCCCCCCCCCAGCCCTCCCCTTCCCCTGCCCCTCCCGCCAGAAATAGAACATGCAAAAGTCAAAGTCTTCCTCCTCGGATGGCTACCGAAGTGCCACTCACCTGATCAGCGCTGGTTCTGAGTTAGTGGTGTAAATTCCACATTTGTATCGCGGGGGGCGGGGGGGGGGGTGAGGGCAGTTTATCCACGGGACGAGGGATAAAATCCGTAAGACAAATATAACGAGCGACAAATAACGAACATAGAACGGCATTTATTAAAGCGAGACGATACGGTTGTCGTGGACCTCACTCTGTCCGATGCAACGCGGCGTCGCCGTACCGCAGCGACGCCGCATTCGCAGCCCTCTTCGGCAACCTGTCACAGTCGGAAGGCACGCACGTTGACGGCACGCGCATTCCACGCAAATCCCACCTTGCGTTTCCCCTCCTCCCCCCCCCCCAAAAACTAAAACATTTGCCGACCGTACAAAACACACCAAGTCGCAGCGCCGCCGCTGACAGGCGCGCGCTCGTCAACCCACCCATGGTGTTTGCCCAGAGAGGGACCGGTGCTGTGCACACAAGCGGACGCCGTGCCCCGACACGCTCGCTGGCACGGCCTGCGCAAGCCCGGGCTTGCCAGCTCTCTCCGCTCGTCCAAACCCTCGAGCCTCCGGAGGACTCGCTCGTGCCAAGGGCTCCCTGAGCCGTAGTATTTACCCCCCTCCCCAGCCCCCCCCCCCCCCCCTCCGGCTCACGGAGGTGAAGAGGTCAGTGACGACAGCCCGAGAGCGAGCCTCATCGCTAGGAACCCAGCGAACCGCGGGAAGCCGCTGACACATGACGACGACGACGCGGTCCGATTTGGAAGTTTGACACAGCCGAGCGGTAGCGCGATTTGCCGCTCGTTCGTTGTAGGGGTTTGTGCTTCGAGCTCGGCGGCCGTCGCGGTCAATACTGCGGGTGAATAAAACGAGAAAGGCCACGAGCCGTCTGCCTCAAGTGGCCGTTATTAAAGGGTAGGCCACGTGCGTGAGTGTCACAGTCCAAAAATATGAAAATTTGAGAAAACACGCGCTTGACCACAAATTGATAAAAGCCATACGGCAACATGGCCTGCAAAAATACAGCGCCTTCGTGATATAACCTCGCGGCTACGAGAATGGCACGGTCACCAAGTGTATTAACTGTTATTATCATTATTAGTATTCGAGCTTTGATTTAAAGCTTTCGTGACTGCAGGGATTCATATTCTTGGTTCTTTCGGTAAAGTCACGTAGAACGGAAACAATAAAGTAATGCAAATAAAAAACAATAAAATTATCACGATGTTTCGACTGCAATACAAGCAATCATCATCAGGTGTGAAAACCACAGCAAGAAAATTATTTTAAACAATTAATTATGAAAATATTTTTTTTTATTTTCATGCTGCGGTTTTCACACCTGATGATGATTGCTTGTGTTGCAGTCGAAACGTCGCGAGACATTTATTGTTTTATATTTTAATCATTTTATTGTTTCCCTTCTACGTGACTTTACCGTAAGAACCAAGAACATAGTTTTCGAGCTGCGCCGACCGGACAGAAGCGGCGGTTCGGCCGGCGACGTGAGAAATCACTCCGGTGACAAGTCGCGGCGGGGTCAAGTTTACGGCCAAACCCAGCGCGGAGAACAGAGAGCTCTCCAGAGCGAGGGCCCTCGTGTTTCCCCGAGTGGCACTCGCACAGCTGCTTCTCGTCGCTCTGCTGCGCGCTAAGCATGAACAAGTGAAAAACTAATATATATAAATAAAAATCGAGTGCTCTACACTTGGCCAGGTAAGCGTTGTACGTGTGATGTTGTAGATACGATTGGCAAAAAAACGGCGGCGCTTGCGGGTCGGGACAAGTGTGCAGAATGCAGGAGGGCACGTACAGAAGGTCACTGAATTGCGCACTTTCAGATGCGCTTCTGTGACCGTCTGGAATGCTCTTCCTTCCGATATTAGGAAACCACTGGAGCTATACGCTTTTAAATAATCTAGATGGAAAGCGCATTTATTTAGAACTGCTTTTTGTTTCGTCGTCATATCCTAGCCCCCGCACCTCAGATTAGCACGGTTGGCTACGCACGGTGTGAAAGAAGTTCACCGTGCATACATACACCTTGCCGAGACCAGCATTAGAGTGGTCTCCACAAGTCCGGTGAGACACTGTTGGGGCAGAGTTTGGAGGCCGTGTGATTATTGCGCGCTAGCTGTGGAGATCTGGCGGAGGGTACGGAGCGCTGGCAAAGTGCGGCGCCATCAGCGGTGACACAGCCGTTCGCGCGTTCACCGCTTGTTTGCGGAGGCTCACGGTTCGATTCCGGTGGCCGCCCCTGGTTAATACTGCGGTGTGTAATACCGATGATACCACTACTACTACGTGCCAGTTGTGTGCCGGCGTTAGGGTCCAAATAATACAAATAAAAAATTACACCCCCTACAAGCAGACGAATGCCCCAGGTCACTCTTGTAAGTGAGACAATACTGGTCTCTTGAAGGTTCACCTGGTTAAATAAGATCAACGTGAAACTTTAACTTGCTCACTCACCCACTCATTCACTCACTCACCCACGATGACATCTTGTTGATCTTGCCATACCTGTCAACCCCTTATAAGTGCCCTACCTTATTGCAGACCAATTCAGACCGTATTGGTCCAATCACAAGGGAGAAACACAAGCAAATAGACAATTCTCCCCCCCCCCTCCCGTATTAAAACGTGTGAACGCTGTACAAGAATACGGGGTAAACCATATGGGTTGACAGTATGCCTTACACTAGGGCAGTGATGGGCAGTGATGGGTAGTTTGTCTTTCAAATATGATCATGGACATGCAGATTCATAAATCTGTGTAACGTCCCTTTCCAAGCGATGCTTGGCGCTCAGCAACATTGCTGGTCCTGGAAGAGTGAAGGGCATTCCACATTTCTATGGCAGGAGGCCAATCTAGGCGTAGCACAATAATCACGAATGAGACCACTCAATAGCTCACTCGAGATATTGTTTCATTCTTCTGTTCAATATAAAAGTTCAGATTCTCCCCCGAATTGAATTCCTTAAATATACAGGAATACCTCGATATGCGTATATTCAATAAACGAAGTTTCGGTATGAATGTACGTGCATGTTGAACGTAGCCAACCGTGCTAAAGGTGCGAGATAACGGACGTTGGATTATATTTGCATCGTTATTTTACACAGAAAGCAAAAAAGTAAGTAAAATAATCAATATGACATTCATATTGATAAAGAATACATTCGTCGATATACGGTACTATATATAAATAAGAACAACATTTACTTTTCTTCACTGTTTCTTTTATTCACGTCAGTTTTTTTAATACTGTGCAGTATAAAATACAGCTTTTTCAATATAAATTGTCTTTGTTTACAATATGCAATTGCAAAGTCATTAAGTGCTTAGAGTAGTATTACATGGTAAGTCACGAAGCCTGAGAACGCAATCTCACAGTAACCAACGTGACAAGTGATTCAATGTACGAAGTCCCAATGTAGGAAACGCTGCTCCAGGAACGCATCCACTTCGGTGACCGAGGTATTATTTAGTTTGAAAGCTTTCGCGTGACTGCCCGGGATTCATATTCTTGGTTCTTTCGGTAAAGTCACACCTGATGATGATGATGATGATGATTGCTTGTGTTGCAATAGAAACGTCGTGAGAATTTTATTGTTTTAAATTTGTATCAC